TAGAATACTCAAGATGAGCATGAGTAGCCAAGACACCATAAAAGGCTCAGGTAGATGCCTCATAAGCATCAGGGCAGGCAAAGACCTCTAGTGCAATAGAGCTCAAAGGTTTGAGAGGAAACTCTGTCAACCCTGGAAGAAGGAAGAAGACCAAATGAGTCAAAGCGTCATCTGGAGTTGTCACCAACTAAGGTGGCTCAGTACTACATAGAACACAGTTTGCGGCAGGGAACAATGCCCAACAGGTGAGAAGTTACCACAAGAAGGCAATATCACAAAAGGAGGTTACAAAGCATGGTGACAAGCATTCTATCCAGGACTGAAAATACTCAAGAGACTACAAGGATCAAGAGGCCTGAACAGGAGCAGAGAGCCTCTCTCCCATCCCAACATAACTGTTGAAGAAAGTACTGGACAACAAGGATGATTATAGTTATCAGCAGAGTCTTAAGAAGAAGTCCAACAGGAAGTACAACCCACCAGCCAAGGTGAAAACAACTGAGGAAGACCCAGGCTATGTTGTGAAGTACTCAGACATCTGGCTAGAACTCTTTAGGCACTTATGGACCTATTGGGGTTATGACTTGCCTCCACCATGGAAAAGAAAATTGCCATTCTCAATGGCTGGATACATCCAAAGCAACAACCAGAGATCAACCCTGAGCTAGCACTGGAACTTAGTGAATGCTTAGGTGAGAGCCTCAATGACTATCACACAAGTGGGAGTGGCTCAATAAATTAAAAACACCACCAATGTACATCTGAGGAAGGAAGGGAAGGAATGTGTCTATCAAGTGCAGTTGGAAATGGTGGACACTAAAGACCCATTCAGTCACTGCCCTGGTTGACAGTGGGTATACAGGGAGTGCCATTGATTGCCAATGGGTCAGGAGTCATGGCCTTAATGTCTGGAAGGCAGTGCACCCTACCACTGTCTACAATGTGGATGGAACCCACACAAGGGAGGAGACATCACAGAGTATGCAGATGTGTGATTGCACATAGGAGATCATCAAGAGTGAATAGAGTTAGCAGTGGTGGATCTAGGAATGACCTCTATATTCCTAGGACATGACTGGCTCAAGCAGCACAATCCAATCATAGACTGGAATACCAAAACCATCATCCTAGCACATTGCGACTGCCACAAAATCCCATTCCAGCTTCTTGACAAGGATCCTGAACAAAAATGGGGAATGGAGTTTGAGGGAAGGAGATACATTACTTGTCATTGACTTTGAGGAAGCATTTCACTGTAGGGCTATGGGAAGCAAGGCAAATGAGTTGGCAGCCAGGCTAACAAGGAAAGGAAAGAAGTCTTTTGAAGAAATTGTTTCTGAACATTACTGGGACTTTATCAATGTATTTGCAAAAGAGAACTTCAACAAACTTCCACCTCACAAACCTTCGGACCACGCCATCGAATTGATCCCCAATGTGAATGCTAGCCTAGACTGCAAAGTGTACCCCCTTAACCTGGCAGAGAAAGAAGAGCTCAACAAGTTCCTAGATGAGAACCTTGCCACCAGACACATTTAACCATTAAAATCTCCCATGATGTCTCTCTTCTTTTTTATTAAAAAGAAAGATAGAAAACTTTGACCAGTCCAGGACTATTGAAAGCTCAATGAGTTGACAATCAAGAACAGGTATCCCTTGCCACTCATCTCAGAGCTCATGGACAAGTTGAAAGGTGCCAAATACTTCATCAAACTAGATGTGAGGTGGGGATATAACAATGTGCAAATCAAGGAGGGTGATGAATGGAAGGTGGCATTTCGAACCAACTGAGGCCTATATGCACCACAAAAAAGTGTCAAAAGGTCACATTCCTATCTAAGGGTTTTCTGGGTATATGAGGTAGTGCTATAATCAACTACAAATATAATCAATTATAATATCTAAGAATTCTTGATTTAAATCATATGGCTTCCTGAGTTGTGCTGAAGGTTGAGGGACAACATGGAGTATTATGGTAGTGAAGAATCATCGACTAGGCTTATAATACATTATCAAACCTCAGATATATCAATTATTTCCAATGGCATTATATCAAAGCAGTCTCATATGGTAGTATCATTTTGTATACATAGCTACTACAAACAACTGTACCCAAGATATTCTTCCTCCTCCTTACCTTCATTATTCTTCTCATCATACAACTCATCCAGCTCCTCCTCTACATTATCCAGCTCCTCCTCTGAGTCCTCATTATCAACTTTGAGCACCTCTGACTCATCATCACTCCCTCTGAGTCCAACATCTTCAGACTCATCATCAGTCTCCCATTCTTCCACATTGTTCCCCTCCATATCATCTAAACTGGTGGCAGCTATATTCATCTTGACATCTGACACATCTAGTGTATCAGCCACAATGACATCACCATCTGAGTCTTGCACCTCTGAGTCCAATGAAATGCCAAAAGCATTACAGATCTCTTCACACAATGCTTTCATTGCCTCCCATGTGCTCTTGTGTCTGACTCCAAGTCTGTAATATCAAAAAGTCATATCATGATCAGCACACCTGTTTGAGTGATTAGCTTATAATCCTATTGAATACAATTATCTTTTTTCAACTCACATGCTTACTGCATAGCATTCATAATCCTGATCATGTTCATTTGGTCGGCAAGCAATGGACAGTTGGAGAAAGTCTGAGGTTTGACTGAGCTTATACACAGGCAAGAGGTGCACTGCTCAGTGATGAGCCTAAACTTCCATGGCAACGGCAAAAACCAAAACTCTAGAGGAGTTCACAGCAAATGGCATGTAGTGGCAATAAAGGCTTTGTTGTTGTGCGAGTGTTTCGGTGCACCTCCGTGCGATGAATTCCTCAAGAACGCAAGTATACTCTGCGACTTTTCAGTCAGCAAAGTAGTACCCTTAACGATCGAGTACTAGAAAACGTTGGCTGTAAGCCAGGAAGAGTCTCGATAGATGAGAAGGAACGGAATCCAGTATAACTGGGAATACCAGCAAACCATGAACAAAGTGATGGCAATTAACTGGTAAAAGCCGTGGGCAATGTTGATGGAATTAGAGAAAATGCCATCAAAGAGAAATGCTGTTGGCAAGATAACAAATACCGTGACAGCAATAAATGAAGACTGTAGTCGAGAAATGAGAAACTGGCGGTAAAACGAAGATAAGACGAACTGGCGATGATATGAGGGGGAACTAGTGATGGCAAAACAATGGCTGGGACTGGGCTGGACTGATACTGAAACTATACTGAGGTTAACAATGGCAAAATGAAACTGATACTAATCCTGAGTCTACATGGAGACTATCCTATACTGAAACTGATGGCAAGATAACAAATACCATGACTGAAGGTCCTATACTGAAACTGTTGACAGAAATTCCATGACAGACACTGCTGGCAGCAATAACGATCCTAATCTGTGTCCACACAGGGATGTCACTATACTGAGCTGAACTGGGGTGAAACAATGGCGATGTAGAAAGTGAAGACTGGTAAAACAATGCTGGCTGGTGAAAGTGAAACAATGCTGGTGGGATAAAAGATAAAAGTGAGTTGTGAACACGAAATTCCGTGTATTGGCACAATATGAGCATACACCAATACCATTAGAAGAAAAGCCATGACAGAGAGTATAACTCGGAGTGACTATGCTGTTATTGTCTGTCTCCTAGTGGGTACAAGAGATAGTGGTTGTAGCAACTTAGTTACTTGTTGTTGATAACCTGTGTGTCTCTTAACTACCATTTTCTGTGGTGTATACTAGCTTTTATACTACAAGTCCAGAATAAATTTAGAATCTTTGAAGCGAATCCTTAGTAAGTCCATAGTACATAGATTGGTAAAAAATGATACAAAACACATGTTCCCAAGGTTCTAAAGTGACAGCACCCACATGGTTTTACTGTGTACTGTGGTTCAAAAGTAACAGCACCCATATGTATGGAATACAAGACTGGTATGCTCCGGTTATAAGCAATAGCCAGTATTTGCAATGCTAACACCTGCCATGTATAGCAATATGACTCCAGAAACTTATCTGTAGCCAAGTATAGCATAACATTGAATATCATCTACATAATATTTATTTTTCCTTTCTGCTGGATAATCAAAATTCCCAGTTTTGTGCTTATGGCAAACTTGGCATTCCATGATTTGAAATGAGCCTGTGGGTTGTACATAGATACATTGTTATGCTTTTCGTGGTTCTGAAATGCACAACTGTACAGGTTATAGATTATGGATAGTAAGTAACCTATGTTAATCTTGCATCCATAACCTTCCGAGAAAAACAAAGACCCATACGCTTCCGAAAATGAAATGTTTCAATCAAGTTTCCACCAGTATGTCTTCATCGTTGGCGAGTTGTTTCTTTATAAAGGACATCAATCAGTGCAATTCAGCTTGAGCCTTGGGTTTATGGGACTAAAGCACAGCTGATCGATGGTTTTGAGGAGATCAGTATTCGAACAATTTTTTCTTCGATCTCTTTGCCCAGGAACTGATAGTGGCATGATCAAGTACCTGAAGCTATGGTTGAAAAGTTCTTAGAGCTTTTCAGGTGAGCTGTGATTATGGATGATGCCATGTTGATAACATCACATGAGACAATATGTCAACCAGTAGAGTGCAATGTCTTTGACTTTGATAGATTGTGCAATATGTGCATCAAAATCCATGGTCATTATGTATACTAGGTCCAAAATGAAATTCCCCTTGTTCACTGCTAACTGGCATAAATAGGTTGAAACAGGTGACTTGCTGATTTATTTGAAGACACTCAATTTCTGAAGACACTCCACATTTAGATAAGAGATTCTCCATACCACATGGTCCTTTGTAGAGTAGCTGTGCTCATACATGTTCAATTACTATAGTTTTGGAAATTAGGTTCAATCGGAACTAGGGGAATATAATTCTTTACAGATAAATCTCTAGCCATAGTAAAGAACAGGATGGCAGCCAGAGCAAGTACTACCAATTGGAAGATCAACAGCATCGCACCTCAAAACGTGTTGACTTTAGGCAAATTGTTTTCACATGGGAAATTCAGACTCAGTTCAGACTCCGATGAAGTAACTGCTCACATCAAAGATCGTTATCATTCATCAATCACTTTTGACTCCTATTGGCTATGTGTACCCAAAGATATAAGCCCTTGAGTAAATTGGCACATTCTGCAATTTGTTTCATTCTCACAGGGTTTCTCAGGGCCAAAAACTGTCCCTTTATTCCGATTCTCTCCAGAAGATGAGGAGGATCAAGATAACATAGCTGAAGACTGTTCACAAGATTCAAGCCCAGATGAACCAGATTTCCTTGTTCCACTGAAGCCATCTGCCATTTTGAGACCATTCCATACTGGAATCGAAAGAAGGGACAAGCGCAAAACCCAGGCAGGTTCAATTTTGACTGTCTTTGGTCATCTATTTTACCAGTTGCAGGATGAATCGAGTTCATCAAAAGAAATCATGTATTCGTTGCTGAACTTTCAGTCTTTGCAATCACCTAAAAACTTGCTTGCCTCAGCAAATTCGGAAACAGCATCTGATGGTGAGCTGCAAGCAAAGGATCCTGATGAGTTGTTTGTCCTTCTCCAATGTTACGAATCTTTGCCCATGCCTTGCAGAATACTAGTGTACCCATGGACTACGACAGGTGGTGTGAATATTAGCAACAGTGATCTGAGTCGGTTATCACCTGGAGAATTTTTGAACGACAATCTCATAGAGCTCAGATTACGGTGTGTGACTTGTAAACCACCTGTTTCAATTTTTACAAATATCTTTAGGCTGACGTATGAACTTCTGCAAACTGGCAAGCCCTCCGTTGCAAAAGAAATTACTATTTTTAGTCCTTTTTCTGTGTTTACCACCTACTCCATCAGTCATTTCCTACGCTCTGACTGGCATTCTTCAACTTCCTTTCTCGACTCTCCTCAACTCGATTTTTTTGTGAATGCTTAGCTACATACACGTTCACGATGTCTTACAAGGTTCTTTATTTTTCTTTCTTCCCTTACAATACACCTACGGTAGAGAACAACTTACCACATGTGATTGCGTATAGCAACCAACACAGCAGATGTTTGACTGAGCCCCAGATAATCATCCCTTGCCACAGGCAACTATCATTGATTAACAGTACCTTTGAGAGAAAATTGAGCAACCATCACTAGCCACAACACTGTATTCTACACATGTTACAACACCTACTCCTAGCAACAAACGATGCAAGACCATGGCAAGATGCTCCTCCCCTGTGGAATGTAGCTCGAGCCAACATCTTGAGGTGCCTCGGGCATGCAAGGGGGAGGATTCATGTTTCGCAGACAGTCTCCTCCCACCTCCACACTGGAGGACAGTCCTCACACACTTTCATCCATAAGCCTGTACTAACATACAACCTCTGCAAGTGCTACATAGATGCCACACATGGCTATGTGATCCCTGATCTACAACACCCAGCGAAAACCCCCCTCACACAACTCAACCACTATCCAAGGCGACTACCTTTGGGCCTCCCAAGGCCACAAACCCATCTCTCCCAAGTACAGCCCACCTAGATATCACTCTCTCCTGCCCCCCCCTCTTTTCACGACATGCTAGTAGAAATTAGTTAGTAAAGCATACCACCCTCAGTAGATACCACTTGAGACAGACCACAACATAGGGTATAGAAACCAGATGTAGACATATGCCCTAAAAGGTGTGAATACTATAAATGGGATTTTATGAGAAAATAGAGCACAAGATCGCATCCGCCCATTCAGAGGTATGCCCAGACACATTTCAAAGTGACCTTGAATGTTATATCTCACACCGTTTTATATCTGTCTTCAAAGACTGGAAGGCTGGATTGTGGGTCTTAGTCAGCAATATCATCAAGCTGGATGACAGTCTTAGTCAGCAATGCCATCGAGCTGTCATATGACCATGTGAGTTGAGTGCCATCCTGTGACATCCCAGAATAGAATTCAAAAGATGAACTGGCTCGTGGCCTTTGTCCCCTTCCATGACCACCTATAATGTAGTCTTGTATGCCTGAGCAAAAGAAAATATAACATCATTCACTACATATGCTGTAAGAATTCTCGGATGGACATCTCTATAACGGGTGCCTCGCCTGAAATTTCAGCATCTTCTTCATCAGCTTCGACATCTTCCACATTGGCATCATCAAGTTTGTCGTCACTGTTCAAGTCTGGAATATCAGGTATTGTAGCTTGGTCTGATTGAAGTTTATCAGATTGCTTAGTGTCCGATTTGAAAGATTCTGACCTTGCCCAACCACCTCTTTTGGACCTCCTTGATTCTTATCGGTTTCTTCTGCTTCATATGCTCTCGTAGAAGCAATGTGCCATTCATCAAGAACAACAATATGGCGTTCGTGAAATTTATCCAGCAATGCAAGGTATACATTCCAGATGCACTCTCGGGTTACTTCTGGATGGCCGAGTTCCTCCATAAATACTTCAGCCCACTGCCTAAATGAGTTAGGGACAAGCTGCAGCATGGGGTGATCAGGTGGGGCATAAATTTGCCTCACAGCTTGTATAGTTTCTGGGATGAAAGCAACCTATGAAGAAACATTGAATTTGGAAAAATGATAGGTGCTTGTAGGTACCTTGAAATCCTGGGCCCCAAATCACTCAGGAGCTTGTTCAATGAGTAAAGGGACTCTGTTCAGTCTTGCCACCTTGCGATTTCATCTTTTCTTTGTCATGTTGTTTTTGATCACATACAAATCGAGTTCTTGTTAGAACCAAGGGATAAAAAGGAAACGGAATATCAATCTATGAAATCAGCTGAGTCCAGTTCGATTTGAAGCTGTTAAAGAGAAGAGATGTATGCTTCCAGAGGCACCTCCAGGTCATACCAGCCTTGCTCAATGCCAAACTGAAAGAGTCCTTCATAGCCAAAGCTAAAGTGAGCACGGAACACACTCCATACAATTTCTGAAGGAATGTTTTTCTTCTCTGCCATCCATCAGTGCTGCAAGGTATTGTCCAAGTCCTTGTCAGTCCATTGGCACAAGAAGCTATGCACCCTAGCCTGGTTACCATTCTTGTTGCCCATATCACTTTGTGTAAGAACAGGACCGTCTGGACAAGAGAAAGATAGTGACCCCTTGCAGAAAGGTTTAAAGACCTATGCCCAGTGTGTTCCACTACATCCAGGTAGTATGAACAGATTAAGATGGGATTTGAATTGTTCCACCAGACTCGCATCCACTTCAGGATGCCAGTGAAAGGGTCTATGCCACTGTGAAGGCAGAGGCCAAAGCGATATTTCCACTTGTCATGTTGGTCGACGCACCAGAGGTCATTGACACCAGCACAATAAAAAACTTTTCTGATGAGTCCCTTTCAAATTCTTCGGGACGCATGCAAGGGTTCCTTCAAATACACCCATTCCTTGATTATGTCTCTTCCCTTTCATTAAGAATTGTACCATTAGAAGAATTTAAAGACTCACCTTGAAACTCGCACATTGTGGTCAATTCTTAGATGCTTCTTCATTTTGAAATAACCCACCTTAGGGAATTGCTCCCGCATTTCATCCAAATGTTCCAAGACAGTCTCAACAGTATGCTTTTGCTGCCATGTACTGAGGAATCCTAGCCTTTTTCTCATCCTTTTGAAGCTGGAAAGGCTGGAAAGAAACCATTAATGGATCCTCCGGGCGAGAACTTCAACATATCCCAAGGTATACTTTGACATATCGAAAACTTTCTGGAGTTCTTCACACAGAATGGTATCAGTTACGTTGCCCTCCATCAGCCAAAGCTCTTTCAGTCTCGGCAAAATTATTTCATCTGGTACTTCACCACAGTCAATGGAATGAAAAGAAAATTTACGATGACTCACCAAGTGGAAGGTGTTGATTGGGCATGACGAGAAACAGGTATAAATATGGATACCCAAAAATCACTTGTTGTCCTGGCCTAGATCGGACGTAAATCTGGAAAAATCAAGGAATATCTTTTATTTGTGTTTGTCTCCATGACGTGAAATGGAAGCATGCATAGACACTGACAGTTGTCTCATCATTAGGGTCCTGTTATTCCAACACAATGAATGGCCCTGCATCATTGGACAAGATTTTCTGGGATATCTGGTGACACTCATTACAATTTCGGATGGAAAATATCGGCGTCTTTTTATATGAAGTGGAAATGTTCGCTGGGCCAAGAATATCTTTCACTAAAAGATGAAATTATTTCATTCTGGCTGAAAAACTGGTTGAATTTGGGCCCAGCAATGTAGTCTTTACCATAATTGATTAACCATTTTAAGACGGTATGACAATGCGCAAAAACGGGTATATAAAGCACACTTTCATTGCAGAGACTGCCAAACTTTCATGAGTGAAAACACTTCCAGTTCTCAAGCAGAGACTTGCGTCCTCTTGTCTTGCTGTGTTGGTGTGCTTCTGCTCTTCATGGGTAAAGCCTCTTCTGAGTATTTTCACGATGTTCAGTTGATGATATTCAAGGCTTTTATCACTCTCACAGACTGCTCACAGCCATCACCTCAAAGTCTCTTTGTGCATGCTTAGCAAACCCAGCCTTGCAATTCAGTAACGTCTTTCTTCCACATAGGTGTTTGACCCACAAAGAGACTGATTATGGAACCGAGCAAAATGTCACTCCACAGTCCGCCTGCCTTTACCATCTTTATAAAGTGTCCATCTGGGAACTTTGCGCTCGGTAAGTTTTACAAAGTCATTGATCACGTCTTTGATGAACTGTTTTTCCAGTCGTCAATGGAAGTTCATCCATCCAGGATATCTTAGAAATTCTAAGACAGAAAGTCTCTGGCAGACAGGATGTTTGTGGTATCTTTTCAAGTCCGTTCCATTTGTACATGCCCGGCAGATGGCTTCCTTTATCCGCCATGGAGACGCTGGATGCTCTGAACGTGAGTGACCTTTCGACTTTACATTTCCGATCACTGCTGCTAGGGGGTGCCAGTAAGTATTCGACAATATAATGTGCTGGCAGGTACTGACACATTCCAGGCCCAGTTGATCTGGTTGATCTTACCTTTGCACTAGATGATAGTTCTGATCATTGTGAATACCAATGTTGCAAAAATCGCAAAGTGAACAGTGATCCATACAAGTTTCAGCCAGGGGAGGAAAAGTTTCAAATGAAGGCATGTTTGTGCAAGGATGGGCCTGCTACATTGAGGAACCTGGGGACTGAGACCCTGACCTTGACCACTTGTAAATCCTGTGCCATGCTTGCGTCAAAGAAAAGTATGCCCTTTTGCGCTTTCACCTCTTCCAAGCCAATATTCTTTTATAGAAGCTGCATCACAGCGCGCAAGACATCTATCGAAGAAAGATGGAGCGGTGTCATCCCATAAGTCTTATCCACATGCACAACACGATAAATCTCATTGGTTTTGTTAGCCCATCAGATGGCACCACCACCTGTTCCAACGATTCCAGGAATTCACCTGCTCGAAGTAGCCGACGCTATTCTGAAAGTCATTGCGTCCATCCCAAACACCCTTTCGATTGATGAAAGTGTCAAGAAGGCCAAAGCGAAAGGTAGGAATGTTTACTGACCTTTTCTTGTTTGGTGAATGTACTCTCTGACAGGAGCTGCACTGGAATCGAGGTTGCCAGTCGTGATATCATCATTGCTGAATAAAAATGCCCTTAAAACCGGTTATTCGCCTGCTCATTATCTCTACAATTCTGAGAAGGACAAGTTTTGCAAACTCGCAGTAGAAGGTCAAGGCGTACTTGCAAAGGTCTTTGTTCAGGTCAAAAGGGAAAACGGGACAAAGAAAGGCATCTCCTTCCACATAAGCTCTAACTTTGTCATGGTTACACCATTTGACTTTTGGCAGAACGTACAACATGGTGTCTCCTTTCCTCCTCCGACTCCCCACACTGAAGTCGTGCAATGCATGCTCGAAAGCCTGCTTGTTTTAGTACAAGCCCATCACAAAGTGAAGGGCTTCAAGTTCACTACTGACAATTTCTTCGTTGTGGACTCTGGGTGGATACCTGTTCTGGAAGGAGATTTAATGAAACCAACAGAGTTGTTTTATAAAGGTATAACCAAAGGGCTCTCAAAGAAGGGCACACCAGTTGGAGGCTTGAAATATTCTCAGGGAGCCCCTGAGAACTGGTATATGATACTCAACCCTGCAGTGGCTGAAAGATATGATGAATGGGAGGCTGGTGATACTCCAAAGGTATGATTATTGTCATTATGTGTCAATTTATGTTGATTTCTTTCAAGTCATCCCCTGTCAAGAATGGAAAAGGGAAGAAGCGTGAAGAACCAGAACTTGATTCAGATGTACGTTAACTAGGATGCCCCTGTTTGGATATTCATTGATTTTAAACAGATGGATGACCTTTCGGATATTGATTATGTTTCAATTGTTTCCGGACCACCTGAGTCGACCATCTCAGTGAGAGGAGGACATTCTCTTTGTCGCACAACCTAACATCATTCTTTAGGCGAATAGTGAACAGTCATATTCCTCAAAATGGGTGGTGGGTGACTTTCCAGTTAAGTCTTACCAGGCTAACTGAGTTCTGTAGCTTTCTCCAGCACCTCCTACGGACGTTCCCAGCAGCAAGCGACTTTGTACTGGCATTGATGTATCAGACTGCACCAAATGGTTTGATGTGATTCTGGACATTATCGACACCGGTGGAACTTACCTTGAGAGCAGCTTCAATCCTGGTGAGTTCTACACCCAAAACAATCCATGTTAATCACCTACACATATTTTAGGTTTACCAGAATGGGCAGTTGAGATTTGTTTGATCCCTCAACTCATTTCTGGACTTCTCAGCAGCCCTCAATTCACCTTCACTTCGCAGTTATGGGGACACATTTATGTCAACTGGGCGGAGAGTGAAGAACAATGACTCAGATCCAGCTCTTTCAAAATGGCTCACTTTGGGCTGCTAAAGGTTGGAATGAACCTAGAGGGTGTTGATGTTCCGGCAGCGCTGCAGGGAAAAGTCTGTATCAAGCAGCCATACTTTGGCCTCATGACTAGGCAAGGGGTGCAGCGGATGACTGATGATGTCGAATGTACGGCTGTCTTACAGGAAGCGAATACTTTGGTCTGGGCGAATGCCATTCATGACATGAGCATTGCATTGGTCCATGCCAAAGTGTCATCCTATGGGCCACCACCTGGACCAATTCCGGACCTTTGCTTTGTTGAGGCAGCAGTCGCGCTGACTTCCCATCCAGAATCGGTCAAGCTAAAGGATTGGCAGGGTTTTTGTGTCCTGGTGGAACGACTCCTAGATTCTGATGACTTCGTCAAGTATGTATCGAATGGTGCCCCCAAACCGGTCGAAGATGTTTCCGAAGATCATCTTGCCATCACCACATTTTTATGCTTCCTGCAGCACCTCCAATACTCTCAGACATTGGGAAAGTGTTTTGTCTTGGATTATCAAGGTACTTCCAACATCTCCTTTTCAGTAATGGGTTATTGAATGTCATCTTCAGGCGCCGGAAAATGGCTGACGGACCCCCAAGTCATGGCGAAATCTGCATATGTATTGCAAAAATGATAAAACTCAAGTTAATCATTTTACAGTGTTCTGGGATGGCAACTCTTTGGTGAAGGAAATGTGGATGGTTCCCTCGAGCAATTCCCGCAAAGGCATCATTGTAACGAGTGGTGCACTTGGTTCTGCTTACAAGAGTTTTGAACATACGTAGTACTATTCTTGATAGAAGTTTGTTCATAACTACTTTTATGAACCCCCGTTTCTGTCTGACTTGAAAGGTGGCCGAAGCACCTTAGTAACTTTGTGTGGGCCTTTGATCCTGGTTTACTTATGTACTCGGATATTTGCCTTCCCAAACTTAAATTTTTTTTTGGCTAAATGTTCTCACGGGCCATCCAGCTCGATGGCCAATGGCCAGAAAAGGAAACAGAACCTAGCAAAGTCCAATTGTCTTGAAGACCGATTGTTCTGTTTCAAAATTGTCAATAGTTATCATGTTTGCTTTGAAATATCACCTTTTCCATTGGACACAGTTTTATTGTGTTTTTGACACAACGTTTATGTAAATACAAGAATGAACCGCATTGCTGGTTCTTAAACAACTCATAAAATCCATCCTATGGCGCAGGTGTTCTCTGGAGACGTTTTCCGTGTGAAGAGACATTGCATTAAAACCATGCCAGCTTGAAATAATGTTTCAAGCGAACATGGTAACTAATGACGATTTTGAAACAGAACAATCGGCCTTCAAGACAATCGGACTTGGCTAGATTCCATTTCTTTTTCTGGCCATTGGCCATCGAGCTGGATGGCCCATGAGAATATTTAGCCAAAAAAAAATTTAAGTTTGGGAAGGCAAATATCCAAGTACATAAGTAAACCAGGATCAAAGGCCTGTCCAAAGTTACTAAGGTGCTTCGGCATTATAGTTTTCCGTCTTAGAAACCCCTTCTTTGAGATGAGCATGATGTGAGTAGAACGTGACATAAGAACCCAGGTGGTACTTATGAAACAGAAGAATTCAAAGAACATACGCACGACTTCATGGTAATGATGCCAATAGAATAAAGACTTCAGGATTTTCTTCCCTTATTTCGGGCAGAATTCCAGCCATATTTCATTTTCCAAGAATCACCCCATCGTAAAAAAAACATAGTCTGACACATTGTCAATCCCTTCCACTTGTGATGGTCCACACAATACCATGGTGCACTGTTCTTTCACCCCCTAATGTATCCGGTGTCAGTCCCAGAGTCTACAAGAACCAACTGTAAGTCATTCACTTTCTTAAGCGGAACCATATTAAATGATCTGGAAGGGTGTGGATTCCAAATGGTACTACTGGTGCTAAGTGGCCAGTCGTGGTTTACTGCAAAAGAAAGGATCAGGCATTGGTGTTGAACACACATTTGAATCCATTCCTGGTGTATCATGGCCAAGAGGATGATGTAACTTTCAGAGTGTCTTTGCATGAGTGGCAAGAATGGCCCACGATCACTGCAATGTTCGACAATGATGGGGCCACCTTCTGGGCCATCATATATGGCACAAGGGCAGGCATCTTCTATCACCAGTGTGTCTTTTGATCTTTTTCAGAATCAAACTCACCATACTTTTGACATAGAGAACATGCTGTGGACCAAGTCAATCGGTCAAACCCAACATATCGCAGGGCCCACGGCTTCGATAAGATTGAAAATGCGCTAATCTGTCAAATGAGTCGTGGTGCAACTGTGTATGGATGTGTAGATCAATACCCGGCCAACACAACGACTTTGCCATTTCATGCTGGCAGTCGAGTTCCCCGCCCTACACCCACCATAGCTTCACCCACAGCATCTCCAGTGGGGACCCCTTCGAAGCAGAAAGGGAAGGCACACATTCCCGACTTGTCACCAAGGAAAACTCGTAAGTAATTTATCAAGGATTTCCCTTCAACTTTACTTATTCAAATGAGATCATGGCAACTACCTCACTTCGAATGTGACTGTCAATAGCATTGGCAATGGGGACATATTTTCATCTCCCAGTGAGTGTTGTTCTAAAAGTTACTCATACCCTCCCTGAATTCCGTAGCATCACACAGCTCACCAAGGACTCCAGTAAGCCTTGGCCAAGTGGGGCCCTCCAGGCCAAGATCCATGTCACCACTATGTCTTCCCAAGTTACTTGCAAGATATCTGGAGGTATACCAGTACCCGAAGCGATACATATCAAGACATCTTGAAGAGGCTGATACAAGGGATGACTTTATTGAAGCGATGGAGGAGAGTATTCCGGAAGAGGTGGCTGGATTCATTTGGGACCTGTACTTTGGGTTGATGGACATAGCCTTTTGAGTCCTCATAGTTAGCCTTTACAAATATGTTTTTCTGAATTTATACATGCTCTTGTGTTCCCAAACAGGGGGGGTACATATTTCAACTCAAGTTTCCTACTTGAAGTGAGACATAGCTAAGAAGTGCACAGTTTTTTTACGGAGGGAAGGGGGGGACTTTGGTGATGATGCAGAATTGAGAATATCCATCACGGATTTTAGCCCGGTGTTAGCATCTTTTGACATGAAAGACTGGAGAAAGAGATATATTTATTTCACTACTACGATTATCACTAGGGGATATCGGCAGAAGAAATGTACTATGAGGCGGCAGAAGCACCGGTATGCAGAGGTCAAAGTTGCTGGTCATGCAGATACGGTAGCCTGGGACTAATTTGTCTGGTTTGTCAGCGTGACCAGCATAGGCACCATGGCCTCGGGATTCTGGTCACTGGGGCAAAAGTCAAAGCCATCCAATGACCCTGACTGATGACTTTGGTGATGGTCGCGCGACCCGCATAACACCGGTTCAGAAGTCAAACAAGCACAGTCATGTCGAAAGCAAAGTGTCAAGACCACAGAAACTAGGGCCAGTTGAGGTGCTGATGTAAGATCATGCAATGCATCAAGAAAGCATCAGGTGAGTCGATGTAACTTAGGCAGAGCATGAAAAACCCAAAAATGACATGGTAGTAGAAATCCTAGCTGTCCGAAAGGATAGGTAAACAAAGCTCAAATGAATGATGCCATTCACATCCATTACAATCAGTGCACCAGGAAGACCAAAATTCTTTGGCAAACCTGAATTTTGAGCATGAATGTAACATTTTACGAATTCGTTGGGGGTTCGGCTAACTTCCCATTTTGGAGGATGATGACCAGTGAACCTAACAAGTATGGACACAGTCAGTCTACACAGTAATCTGAAAGCATACATTCGTAGGTAGTGAAATAAAAAAGGCATACTTCCTCAGCGTCAAGGGAACATAAAAGATAACTAAGGAAGGAGAAAGGTATGCAACGTATAAGTGGATATAACAGAGCCACGGCCAAACACCGAGTTGACAAACAAGAGGTATAGGTGTACCAGTCGACAGAGGATCTAAATCCCATGCCGCTTGTCAGAGATCAAGTTGGGAATATGCAAATTTTATGTAAATTTTCTGCCAAGATCTTAGATCGACCTCCCAAAATGTAACCCTATTGTGGGCATTCAGATATCCCTCAAATTCTCATCTGTCCTGTGTACTTTTGCCATCAATGTATCAAGCTTGATAGGTTGAGCTGAACAACAATTGATCTCACAGCCACACAGGGGGTGTCCCAGTCAACCATCATCACATTAATACAAGGATGAAAAACCACTATTGGCTACCACAAAAAATCCAGGACTTGGTAAAATGAAAATATAGTATATAAAGGGGTGGTATGCATATTCTGAAGAGGAACGGCTGAAGATTGACGAAAGCACAACAGATCGAGGTTTTCGGTTGCACTTCAAATTGATCACTCCAGTGGCTGATCAGCAATACCTGTGCTCGCTAGAAAAAATACTGATCCTCACAGGCTAAAGTGACGAAACTGAGACATGGCAGGGTTAGTTCCGCCTTGGGTGAAGTGTAAATGGTAATTCATTAACACACCAAATTTTAATTCCTTCAATGTCCATGTCGTTATGATGTCAGTGGCTTCGTTTCAACTTCTTGGGAACAGGAGCATCGAAATCAACCTCCATAACTACCCATTGCTGCCGCCTTTCACTTGGCTCGGAATCCTCAGCATTGGGTTCCCCAGTGGTACCAGTATTTTTGTAGGACTCCATATCACTTTTTAGCACTCCTGTTACTTCTTTACATTTCAACAGGGCTTTCCACAATTCATCAGCAGGGATAGTCAGAGCAGGAGCATCATAGTCCTTATAAGCATGCTTATAATACCCCTCCTGGATAATGATATCTTGCTCAGGGCCATGCTTGTCCTCTGTAATCTAGGAGAACTCAGGAATTAACTCATGCCAGCAAATATATGGAACTTACTACCCAGGAATCCTTTTTCACACAATAGTAGACCGGTTTGCCACGTTCCCCATTTTTTTCGATTGTCTCTGGCCCGATGGCCAAGAAATGATTGTAGCGTCTTTGGTCTTGATATGTGACCGGTACCCAATGCCTCTCGTATCGGCCATACACTTGACCAGATTCAATCCTTTCTTCTGCAACCTTCTCTTCTGACATCAAGTCTAGCCCAAACCAAAAGACACTGACGGTGAGGACAGGCATCTGGCCTTTGCCGATATTGAGGGCAATGCCGATCCACAGCCTCCCTTCCGTCAAGCAGAGAGCTCATGCAATGTTGAAATCTAAAGCTGCGGCAGATTCAGAGAATCCGACTTTGATGACAACAGTGGGGTATGAGTAAGACTTTTGGACTGCTGGGCTGGTGTTGTCAGGTGGAGGCCCTAAGTCATAGATTTGGATGTCGCACTGTTTCCAATGCTTATCAGAAAGAGGGACATCAGCAGTTTCCATAAGTGTGAGAGAGTGGGTGCCAGATTCATATTTATCCATCGCCCTCTGGATGACCCGACCGGCAAATTGATGGATTTGAGATGGTATTTGTAGAATTATATTATTTTCCCACAATTCGAGTCTAAGAAGCCATAGTCAATACTCAAGATAAAGCTGATCCACATAATAACGCACCGAACAGGCATGGCCTCGATGACTTCTTTGTAATGCTCTTGAACCCATGATTTGTCCTCCTCGTTAACTGCTGTCATATATATTTTATCATGTTCCCACCTACTGATGTTCAAGAGCCAACTGCGAAGGTGGCTGGGAGCATTTCGAAGTATGGGGGGTATATGATTGTCCTCAGAGGACAAATATTTATCGAGAGGGAACCTGGTGAGGGGTTGCAGAGTGAGCGTGAGCATCCGAAGATCCTCTCGGATGCTTTTCGTCCCAGCAACGGTGGGACTCTTCACTGCGTTGGTTTCAGCAGGGCCCTCAGCTCAAGAAGGGGCAGCAGGGGTACGGTAGGAAACGGTTGGGTGATAAGCATAGCGGTCGCTTCCAATGACAGAGGTCATCTTGCAGTGGAGATGAGGGGAAGATAAGAGATGCTGATATCATGCTGTGGTTGACTAAGTACTATGGCCACATGACCAGGCACCGCCTTTCAGTGCTGAGCGGGACTCGAGGTGATTTTCTACCATCCTTTTTGTGTCCATTAGTAAGATGATGGACAAGCAATATATGCATTCTGATCCACAGACAGCTGGGGTGCAAGTTTTTCAATGGAATTCACTACCATCTGGAAAATGCTTCGATCACTCTCATGGTGTGATCAATCAATTATTGGGCCATTCGCAATTGATTTATCAGGCTTCAAATATTTCATGAACGAACATCTGTTAACATTGATGCACCTAGTGGATTGCAGAGCACATGTGGTGGTTACCAAGAGTACGACATGATTTAGAGACTTTGAAGCACATTGACTGACTAGGGGTAGCAGAGCACCACTGGTAGATCATTACCTTTTCTGGTGAGCACCATGCCTTCCAGCCATTGGAGCCGGCCGATTCGAATAGGGAATAATGACATCATTGATCTTGCCAAGCCCATGGCAAGATAGCCTTGGCATTGCTCTGGCACTTTTTCTTCATGATTTGGCATAAATTTAACACACTGCAAATCATAAATGAGATGTTTATAACAGTATAAAGATGTCACTGAAGGTAAGAGTACTAGATTTAGATTGAAGATCCTTAAAACTGAGGTTTTCTGCTGCCACTGCCGTGATCTGCCACCCCCAAATTGTAGGTCTGCATTTTCGGCAAGGTCACTGTGGCACTTGACCGGGCATGGGAACAAGTGTGCATGGCTGGTACAAGCTTCAGTTCTCAATGTTTAGTCTCACTATTATGTACAGAGTAGCTCATAAATATTGGTAATATACTACATTTTTTGGCATTACATCCACACTCCTCACAGAGTTGTCAGCGAAGTTCAATGCCCTGGTCTGACAGTTAACTGCCCTTTTGCATTGTTGTTCACTGCACACCCTATCTTGCTCCAGTGTTCTTTGATCTTCTATGCTCAAAAGGCTTTAAGAGTGCACAAGGCTCAGGGAGAACATGAATCCCTCATGTTTAATTTTGATTCATTTCGTCAAGATGTTGCAAATTCGTTGGAGACCTTTTTGCAAATGGAGCTGACCACCGACTTTCTCCATGCATACAAGCGACAGGTGGCATGTTTGCATGTTAGGCCCATATTTTTGGTTCACAAGAAAGTTGACCTCCTTGGTAAGTGGGGAATTTGACACATATGCTAATCTAACAATCACAACAGATCTGGGTGCCTATTTCGACTGGAATACAGCCACCGATTTTGATTGCTCTGACGTTGAAGATGATATAGATGATAGTGATGGAGATGACCATGAATTAGGAAAGAAAGAGGATGGCCACTGGCGGAGATGACAGTGGGTCAAAAGACAATGATACAGGGAAAAAGAAGGATGCTCCCGAGGAGCTTCAGGAATCTGACGTCAAGTCAGAACCAATGTCAGGTGAGGATGAATCTATGCACTCAGAGTACATGCCAAGCAAGTCCGTTCTATAATGCCTTCATATGAAATACTTGTATGCGCTAAGGATGTGTGTTTTTTCATGACAGCCTTTGGCCAATTTATGTTTCTCTTCTAACAATTTTAAAACTATGTTTATTGTGGCTAAAGTAAAGCAATGACTGTCAATCATACTAGTTTCTGCATTTTTTGCCTCTTGCAATATGACTCAAGTGCTAACCCACACTCAAAATATATCTGCACATTCTTGGATTCCACCCCTGTCATGGATGAGCTTCCAGGCTCTGTACATAATTACATTACAGGTTGCACTTGCTGTTTCAAAATATACATTCCAAAAAAAAGGAGAAAATTGTATTATAATCGGGCCAGAGGCACTTGGGGCTGTCCAGGCAGGGATGCATTTCATGATGAGGTTGGTGCTTGTGGAACGGAATGATGAGGTCGTCTGCTGGTACGACATATAAGAAAAGGTGGCAAGGAAATTGGTGTATGCTGCCTACCTTGTCCATGAATAGACCATGTTCTCCTTCTCTGAATCTGAATCTGGTCTAGATAGATGCTCATTTGCTTGAATTTGAGTCCAAGTTCTCACAATTGAAACAGCTCTGCTATGTGGCACTCAAGCCGGCATAATTTGGTGACATGGTAAGATGGTTTCCACTGATGTGATTTTGGCCAAGTCAAGCAGGAGCTTGATAGGATGCGTCAGACAAAGTCTTCAAAAGACAGCTTATTTGCGGATTCAAGAGCGTCAGGACTGAAAGCGAAGTCCTCAGAAGTGACATCAGGAGATGGTGATTCATCTTCAGTCGAGACTGTTTTCAGGCATAAAGAAAGGATGAATTTATGGGCAGAATAGCAATTGCATTTAACAAAGCTTCATCACTTGCTGGGCTCCAGGCTTCCCTGGCTGTGTGTCTTCTCAGCGAAGTGGTCGCTGAGTGCATTGCATGCCAGATATGCAGCAGCAAACATGCTTCTGGCAATTTTGAAGCCAAGGTGCAAAGTCCGAAGTCTAGACCTATTGCCTGTTTTGATCTCAATGATAGAATTTGAAATTAGGTCATTGAGCTGGATGGCCTGCTTAGTCATAAATCTCATCGAGCGACAGGGGTTACCTATACGACTAACTTGGTATGCAAATGAGGCTACTTTTTGGGGAGGATGTTGTGAATCCGATATAATCCTAGTATAAAGACCGACGCAAAACCTGCCGCATTTTGATTGGTCTCTATATGCTAAATCCCCCTCTGCAAAGCACAGATTGTATTTCCCACACAAATACAATGTTGACATGTCAGTTCTGCAATAGTCGTGGTCTCTGCCGTCGATAGTCCTGGCATTTCCTAGCATCCAAGTGCAATACATTGGGAGAGTGGTAGGAAACTGCAGCACAGGCAGTATGTGGGAGCGAATAGAGGGGAGGGAAGCGAGTAGCCTTATCGATGTCAGGACAGTCGGCAATCTTTCGAGCCCTTGAAGATTGACTATCATTACGCAAAAACAGACAGCTGAAGGTGTGACCAAATCTAATGGAGCAAGCTTTGCTGCTTGCTTGTGCTACTTGTTATATACAAATTATTGCCTTCCTCCCATCAAGTGCATGACATCACTTCCTACACAAGGATGATGATGAAAAAGTGCTAGATATCTGAGTCATCTTCACGTCATAATATCATATTGCAGAAATAACACAAGGAATTAACCAAATTATGAAAAGAGAAGAGCAACATTTCCAATGTATTGAAAATACAACAGACCAGTAAACAAAGCTCATAAAACTGCATTCGATCCAAAACTGTATGTGAAAACACAGAAGCCAATATAACAGAGCTAAAACTTTAGTTTTCCCCGGTGTACCGAATGCTAATGCCAAGGTAGACTCTACCTTTGGTGGCAGTGATGATATGGTGAACATCCAAGTCTTCTAAGTCCATGAAGTCTTTGGTTGTTTCAACAACCATGATTGGCCATGGACATGGGGCATGATGCTCCTCACATACAGGAGTGGGCTCTTCATCCTCCACACTGATAGCAATATCAAGCTCCAAATGCAGGGGTGAAAAAATTACTCACTGGGAGGTCTGTGCTTCTGCTGCCAGACTCAGATTCTCAATACCACCTTCCCTAGGGCTGGGAGCCTTTACACCCGGATCGTCTTGCTGCAATGGGGAAGTGTTAGCAGAGGACTTCAACACCAAGTTGGGACTGTCACCAACAATATCCGACAGCATCTTGATGGGGAAGATAAGACTGATGTCGCACCTGACGGAGGCTTTTATTTCACTGGAGGCAATGGCCGAAATGATCGGCATGCAGGCATGTATTTCGGATCAATTTTAGATAGAAGATGGCAATGACATTAGAGTCGGATTAGCTTGTCATGGGGTGATATCTGCTTAAAAAAGACTTCAGGATTATGGTGACCATTGATCGATAGTAATAAGGCGAGCCTGAGTCTGTATTGGCTCAGACTCATTCTAGGTTCAAGCCCATATAGGAGCCAGCTAAAGCCAGGCTTGAGTCGCTTTAGCTGGATGACAATGCCTGATTTGGGCAGGGTGTTTTCTTCACTTTTATTCTCACCTAGGATGCATAAAATCATGCCCTGTGGTGTGTACTATAAGATTCCAATATGGATGAAGGCAACTACACATCGAAAATGCTGATTAATACCATAAAATGGAGAACTGAGGTTTGAGATGACAAGATCCAGCCATCTTCAATCCCCACATTGCTCTTGTGACATCCACACTGAATGGTCTCTCTGCCTGATGCTTCCTTGTCAATGGTAGCAGCAAAGTCACTACTGACCAGCGTTGGAAGGAAGGAGATGCGAATAGTCACTGCCTGAGACACATTGGGAGAATTCAGATGCTTCAAAGGCAGGGAAATCATCACACAACCTTAAAGAAATAAAGAAATGAGCCAATTATATGCATAGGAATGAACGGAGTGACTAGAACAAGTCGAATGGAGAGCGCATGTCATAATTAGTGTAGTCCAATGTCTGAACTCAATTTCCTTTTTTGGTCTTGATAAAGGAATTTGAAAAATGGTCATCGAGCTGGATGGCCTGCTTAGTCAGAAATGCCATCGAGTGACAGGGGTTCCAGGTACAAAAATCCCCCACATTCTGCATCCTTTTTTCCATATCATGTCTGCTACTGTGCGTCCTCACACACCAAGGTCATACTGCACCAGATCCTGCCATTCGGTGCTAGTGATCACTTGTTTTGACGATTATGGTTGGTCATGAACGCAGCACTCGTCTCCTCGTCGGTGGGAATACTTTCTTCATTCTCCACACTGAGGAAAATATCAAGGTCAGAACTGGAGTGTATAAAAATTACTGACTCAGAGTGAATGCTCTCTGCTGCATCTGCCATCCAGAAAGAGTACATAGGATTGGAATTTCTGTTCCACAGGGATTGAAGCCTCTGCACCTGCCTTGTTTTCCTGCAATGGGGCAGCCCCAGCAAAGGATGTTGACCCAGGGTTAAGGCTGTCACCAATGATATCAGAGGGAGAGCTGATGTCACACCTGACAAGAGCTTTTATAAGGCTTGAAGTTCAGATAGGATCAGACACATGAGTGTGATGGGAATAAGGACATTTGGAAGCTTCTGATAAACTTGTCATCAGTACATGTCCTTGAAAAAGGACTTCAGGGTCCAATGTAACAATCGTTCCGGGAATATGCAATAGCGCATTTGAATACAGAGAGCAAAGTTTTCATGGTAGGCCACATCCAAAATTGTAACCACTGATAACATATTTGGGAAGTATATATGGGAAAGTACATTTATACTGATCAGTCTGGAGATTGCATGACTTCAGCAACTCTTTCTTTCACCACCATCACTGTTAGCGACCGATTTCACAAACAAGATCAAACAACTAAGCGTGACTCGCACTTCGGTCAGGCGCTTTGTGTTGTCCGCAGGTTTGCATTAAGGGAGCTATCGCTTAGTTGAGCGAGAGTGAGTTCAGACTAGGTTATCAGGTGAATAAACTTTAGTTCGAGACTGAGGTTTAAGACCTGCAGTCGAGCTACTTAAATACAGTTTGGGTCGTGCTAAATATACTACAAGTGTCTGCAACGGCGCATTAAACACGCTAGACCCGCATGGTGAATGCGATCAAGTCCGGAATACTAGCATAGCAGGATTACGATGAAGGCGATAAGATAAGATAGAACATGAAATCGTAATATTACCCCCCTGTTAAGGCAGTCGTCCCGACTGCAACGTAGTTTGGTTTTATCAGGTATTTTTGTATTGCCTGTACCAAAGGATGGTCGGTTTCGGATTCAGTTACTGACTCTGTTTCCGTCCAGGAGTCGGATTCATCGTTGTCTTCCCACCAGTCTGCGGGCGGCCGAGTAATGAACGAGACTTGTTCGAAGTCCTCGATGGCGTCCCTAGCATTGTCTAGGTCTTGCTCGTCTACCCACGAGTTTTCTTCCCTTGGATATCCTTTCCACTTGACTAGATATTTGATTCCTGTGCCGCGCCTTCTTCCTCTTCCTCTTGCTCTTTCTCTCCTGTCCACGATTTCTTCCACCTCGTACTGTTCTTGTCCGTCTATGAGGTCTGGTGGTGGGGGCGTGGGCTGTATTTGGATTGGGAATTCCGGCGGATGGTATGGGGTAAGGAGGCTTTCATTGAAACGATCATGGATTTTCCAAGCAGGGGGGAGGCGTAGTTTGTATGCCGAAGCGCCATGCTTGGATATTACTTCGAACGGTCCGACTCGTTTGTCGCCCAGCTTCTTCATTGGTCGAGGAAGACTGAGGTTTGTGGAATCTAACCATACCTTGTCTCCTGGTTGGTATTCCACTGCCGGTCGTTGGTGCTTGTCATATTGTCGTTTCATGGTTTCTGCCGCCTTTTCCAATGCTTTAGCAGTTTGTTCGTGAACCTTTTGTATATCGGCTACGAATTCCCTGGCTGCTGGGTTTGTTCCTTCCTTTAACGTGAGTGGGGCAAGGTGAGGTTTCTGCCCATGGTTGATTTCGAACGGGGAATATCCGGTGGTGGAATGTTTCCGGTTGTTATGCTGGAAGGCTGCAAGTGGCAACCACTCGCTCCAGTCGTTCTGTCTGTGATTGATGAAGATCCGGAGATATTTTTCAATCTCTTGATTGGCCCGTTCCGTCTGTCCATCGGTTTGCAGATGGTAAGCTGTGGACGGATTTCCTTGGATATGTAGCATGTCATATAGCTCCTTCATAAATTTGGACACGAATTGAGGTCCCCTGTCCGAGATCACCTTCTGTGGCATTCCGTGTTTGGCCCACACATGATCCCTGAGAATCTTGGCCCATCCCGCAGAGGTTAACTCGGTGGAGCAGGGTACTGGGATTACTTCTTTGGAGAAACGGTCGACTATCATAAGGATGGCGTTATACCCATTTGAATCAGGTAATTCGCCTATCATGTCGACCGTGATGTGTTCCCATGGTCTAGAAGGTACTGTATGAGGGTGTAGGGGTGCCCGCTTCTTCTGGGTGCTCGTCTTCGTTCGTTGACAAGCTTCGCATCCCTTCACGTACTTTTCTACATCTTGTTTCAGTCTTGGCCACCAATAATTTCGTTGGACTAGTTCCTTGGTTTTTTCAATCCCCAGGTGTCCTGCTGTAATGTGATCATGATGAATGGCTATAAGTTCTCCCCGTAGTTTGGCGTCCCGGGGAACGTACAGTCGTCCATCGTAGTACATCAGGCCTTCCTGTTGTGTGATCCCTCTGGGGTGATGAAGAGACACTTCTATTCCTTTGTCCCATCTGGTCACATCGCGCAAGGCGGTTCGGATCTTCTTGTGAATCTCCTCTTCACTAGGCATGATGAGTGCTCGGAACATCTCCGGTTTTAGGATTACTACTTCGGTGTTGTCATCGCTCCCCTGGTCGTGGTCCGCCCGCCTGGATAACAGGTCTGCCTTTTTGTTTGCCGTTCCTGGCTTGTGATGGAGAGTAAAATGGTATTCCGCAAGTTCCGTCACCCATCGAGCTTGGTGACGGTTGAGTTTTTGAGGCTTTCGGAAATATTGGAGGTTTTGATGGTCTGTCCAGATTTCGAAATCCTGGTATGCCCCCATGAGGTAGTGTCTCCAGTCTTCCAGGGCTAGCATGATTGCCAAGAGTTCCTTGTCGTATATTTCGTAGTTTCGTTCCGTTACCGTGAGGGCCTTGGACAGGAATGCTACGGGTCTCCACTTTCCTTCTTGTTCCTGCGATAAAACAGCTCCTATCGCTCCTTCACTTGCGTCGGCTTCTACGCGGTATTTCCTGGTTCGATTTGGTATGGCTAATACCACTTCCTCTGCTAGCTTCCTCTTGATCTCTTGAAATGCGTTTTCCTGAGATGTTCCCCATGTCCATTCCGCCTTACCCGTGAGTTGGGTTAAGGGGCGTACGTGTTTGCTGTAGTCACGTATGAACCTTCGGTAGAAGTTGGTGAAACCCAGGAACGATTGTAGCTCTCGTTTCTTAGTCGGCTGGGGCCACTCTGTGATTCCTTTTACCTTGACGGGGTCCATGCGGATTGATCCCTGACTGATGATTACTCCGAGGTATTCGGTTTCTAATACCTTGAATTCGCATTTCTCCGCTTTGAGGAATAAGTTGTTTGTCCTGAGTATGGATAGGACTTCCTGAACGACCTTGCGATGCCTGTCTTTGTCCTTGGTACAGATCAGGATGTCATCTAGGTACATGGTGACATCTCCCCTTGCGATCTGTTCTTTGAACAAGTCGTTCATCATCCATTGGAAGGTTGCTGGGGAATTGGTGAGTCCGAAGAACATCACCATCGGTTCGAACAACCCTCGGTTGGTTCGAAACGCTGCTTTCCATTCATCTCCTCCTTTGATCCTTACATTGTTATATCCCCATCATACGTCCAGCTTCGTGAAGTACTTGGCGTCCTTGAGTTGATCCATCAACTCCCCTATGAGCGGAAGGGGGTATCGGTTCTTTATGGTCATCTTGTTTAGCTTTCGATAATCTTGTACGGGTCGAAGCTTTCCGTCCTTCTTTTTGACAAAGAAGAAGGGCGACGCCATCAGGGATTTGGATGGTCTGATCCTTCCTGATTCCAGATTTTCGTCAAGGAATTTGTCCAGCTCTTCTTGTTCTGTGGGATTAAGGGGGTAGACTTTACAGTCTAGGCTTGCGTTGGCATTGGGAATTAGTTCAATGGCGTGGTCCCATGGTTTCCGGGGTGGTAGTTCATCGAAGTTTTCTTTGGCGAACACGTCTCGGTATTCCCGGTACGGTTCGGGTACTATTTCTTCGAACGATTTGGCTTCCTTCGCTTGATTAGCTTTGGCGGCCAGTTCATTTGCCTTGCTCCCCATAGCCCGTATGTGAAAAGCTTCTTCAAAGTCAATGACTAGGATTGTGTCCCCTTCTTCTACTTCTGTTCCCCACTTCTGCTCCGGGTCTTCGTCTGGTAACTGGAAGGGTATTTTACGGCATGCGCATCTTGCTAGTGTTACAGCTCCTGTTTTCCAGTCGATGATTGGGTTATGTCGTTTGAGCCAGTCATGTCCTAGGAATAGGGGTACATTTCCTAGGTCAACGACGGTGAGGTCGATTTTTTCATGGTGGTCTCCAATCATCATTCGAAGTTCTACGACTTTGGTGATGTCCCCTCCCTTATTCCTGCTGCCGTCTGCATTGTATACTGCTTGTGCCTTTGATAACTTTACGGTGTTCATTTGGTTTTCTTGTACGAACGTTCGGTTTATGCAGCTTCCGGTGCATCCGCTGTCGACTAGAGCGTCGACCGCTCGTATGTGACCCGTGTCTAGGGTTTCAAGTTGGACCCAGATGTTTATGCTCCTTCCCTTTCCTCCTCTGATATATTGCGGGGGAATGCGTAGGTCCTCCATGTTTTGTAGGCACTGTTCTCTTTGTCGGTACGCTTCTTTAGGCGATCCGATGAGATCTAAGACTAGATCTTCATCGACTTCTATAAGGCGCCTGGGGTGTACCCACATGCGCAGAGTGGCGAGCTTTCCTTCCATTGTTTTTTCCTGCCTCATCTTTCTTCTTACCCATTCGGCGCTGTGTGGTTTAAGCCACCCTTTGTCCCATTTATCGTCGTAATATTCCTCCTCTAGTTCGGTTACCTCATAGTCTTCCAGGTACTCCTCGGTGTGCACCACCGGGTCTTCCCCTCGTTTTTTGAGGCTTTGTTGGTAACTGTAGTCGTCTTCCTCATCGGGCACTTCTTCGATAGAAATGTTCTTTTTATTACAAATAGGAGAGGCACATAATGGTCCCACCGACCCGCCCACCGGGGAACACGGGCCCCCGGTGCCATTATGTGTTAGTGACGAGGATGGGAGACGCACCGTGATCGGAGGGGGATAGATAATGTCCCCGGTTACCTTGACTGTTGTTTGCGGGGCAGCAATTTTCTTGATGGGGATTCGCGTTCCCTCTTGCGGCTCCGCCGTTTCGAGGTAGTTGGCCGCATAGGGCAGGTGCGTACGTTCCACCTTCGGGCGAGGCCCTGCATCGTTCCTCTCCTGCCTGGAGGCGCCTTCGCCCACTACTGGCTCGGCCGCTCTTCCTCCATTTTCTGCGCCGGTACCTACCCTCCACGGAGCGATGTTGACCTTGATCCCGTGTGTCCCGCTGCCTTGCGCAGCATGCGCCGCTTGTGCTTTCGCACCGGTGGCCAAGGATCTTGAGTGGGGTTCTTCTTTGAGCACGGTGGTAATCCCCTGTACACCGTTCTTCTTTATATGCGACTTGGTAATTTCATTTTGTGATAGCGTGAAAGTTTTGTCATTGCCTTGAGATACTACATGCGGTACATTAGTCCGACCCGCGGGGTTCTGTGACGCACCACTAAATGAAATCATGTCCTTTGCCGACGCGCGTTTGTTGCTTACGCCGCCAGCTCGTCTTTTACCTCCTCGATCTTCGATGTGGAGGCCTCTCCTTCTTCATCCTTTAGTACTTGCTGATACATTGCGCGGATTTGGGCACGTGAGAACTTGGGCTGGTGCTTGACGAGCCATGTACTTTCGTCCTTGGGGCACTTGTTGTCCTGCTTCCGATGGCCCTTGTGGCCACAACGGAAGCATCACCCTTCCTTGCGGAGACGATCTATCTCCATGGGTTGTCCTTGGCCCCCGTACGTGGTACCCGTTCCCGTCTTCTTGTCACCCTGGGAATTCCCGGAGCTTCCGGCTTTTCCCGTTCCCTTGTTCTGCTGACCCTGCGTTCCTTGGCTTCTGCCTGCGTCTTCCGCTAATCCTACGCGGTAGTTGTAGTCCATTTGTTCTACCCGGAACTTCCACTCTGCATATGTGCGGGGTAGCGCAGTTCCGGTGGCGTGTATGGCGGTTTTAACGTTCTTCCGGATTGCCGGTTTGAGTATTTCGATCATATACTCCTCGTTGTGACGCTTCCCGGACTCCTTGGCTAGGCGTTCGAAGTCCCGGAAGAATTCTTTAGCCGACTTGTACGTGTTTTGTCTGATTCGCTTGAACTCTTGTAACTTGAGTTCAACTTCTGCGTCGGTTCGGAACTGGTCTTCGATAATTTGCCTGAACGTTTGCCATGCCGGGTATCGCAGATAACCGCAGGTTTCATCATAGTATTCGTCCCTCACGTGATTCCACCAATGTAGTGCCTTGTCCATGAACCGGAACGTGCAGAACACTACCCGGTTAGGGTTTTGTCCATACGCGTTCATTGTGAACTGTTGTGGGAAGACGTTGAAGTAATCTTCGCATTGGTTAAGGAATCGGTCCACGTCGCTGGACTCCCCTTTGAACTTCTCGGGGGGATCCGCGAGTTGTGGTTTCACCTGTCCCCATGGATTCGTGTTGGCCACCCCGACAATAAAGGGTGGCGGCATGTTCGGTGGTTGTACAGGGTCGGCGGGGATAGGGATTGCTGCCGGTCGTGGCAGTGATCGTAATGCGGGGTTATGGTGAGGGGTCATGGAACCCTGTGGCGCAGGGGCTGGGGCTGCAGGTTGAGCTGGCACCGCGGCTGCGGCGCCTGCACTTCCTGGGGTTCCTGCAGCGGCGAATAGTCGGCTAGGGTCAACATACCCTGTTCTTCTGAGAATCGATAGGTGGCTTAAGTCCACCATGCTTCCACTTGTTTCCGATGGGACGGGTACCTGGTATCGTTCCCCGGGGTCCGTGTAATCATCCGGGTGTACTTGGTTCCACAGAATGTTGGTGTGGAAAACGGTTTCCCGGTATATCACCTGGGCCCCAATCTGTGAATTCTTTTCTTTTTGGAAGTACCTTCCTTGCGGTGAGCTGTTCCATGACAGCTCTCGCGGTAGCTTCCTTTCTGTCCATCGCAGCATTTCCAAATATGTCATATTTTCTAGCTCGGCCTCAGTAGGCTCCCGAGCTAGATCCTTCCACGAATTCGGGGATAATATCCTCCTCTCCGTATTCTCCGACTCTATGCTGCTGCCGTAGGTCGAAGTCCACCCTGTTCCAGGGTTCTCGTAAATTTCTCCTTCTTCTAAGTCCGATAGGTCGGACTCGTTCGAAAGGCTCTGTGCTTCCCGTGACGATACGGTTCCAGTTTCGAATGATTCTTGCCCACTCATTGACCCTGAGGATGACCTGATCGAAGTCTGGTCTTCGGGGTCTATCCCATACCCAGGGTGCAATGAAGGGGATGGGGGCTGCATGGGGGTGTTCTGGTGCAAGGGGATAGATGGCGTAGGGGATGACGGAGGCAGGGGCTTCGATTCCCTCGTACATGAGCCACGCATCGGCGTAGTCCTGCAGCTGTCTGCATACATCGCAGCTGGCGTCGGCGTCGTACGTGGGTCCACAGTTGTCGAGCTCGGTAACTGCTTCCCTGGTCCGATCGTTGATGATGATTGGGGTGTTCGGACGGGTGACGAGGTTGAGGTAGCTGCCTTCGTCGTCTGATGAGTCGTCGCGGGCATAGTAGTTGCCCCATGTCTCTCCTCTGGAGTCCAACCTTGGAGGGGACCAGTTGTTGCACGGCCCTGGGAGCTCGTCGCTGTCGTAGTCCTCCTCTGTATCGCTGCTTTCTTCATTTGAACTGCTTCCAGTTCCATCTTCAGCCTCTCTTCTTTCTCCCAGATGATGTCTAAGCCCTCTTTGATAGAGGTGCTGTCCGTATGAATCATATCCAGGGTTGGCGGCTGAGTTTTCAGTTGAAGTGGGGGAAGGGGCGTTCCAGGGGTCACTTCCTTCGCTTTCCCCTTCATCTTCTTCCTCGGTAATGGGAGAGAGAACACGCTGGTCCACCCCTTGTTCGTAGATTCCTCGCTCTTCTTCTTCTTCAACGACTGGGCCTCTCTGTGCAGGCCATCCTTCCACCTCGGTGTCGGACTCACTGGACTCGCTTGTGTAGGAGTCCTCTGTGATCCACTCGTCGTCTGTGATGAAAATGAAGTGGATGATGGGTTCAGGTCGGTCGTCAATGTAGTTGGGAGGGGGTGAGTTTTGTCGTCTAGCCTCCTGGTTGGGGGCTTCGACGGGGAGAGTTTCTTCGGAGACTGGCTCCTGGTTTTGTCGGTACTCGTATCCATACAGGAATGCGAGGTAGGTTATGGCAATAAAGCCTTGAAGTCCGAAAAGGTCGGTGAGGTATTGTTCGATGGGGTTCATTCGTTACTGTTCGTCAACGTTGTTGTTGATGAAGAGTAAGAAAGTCTCGAACTAATTGTTAGCGACCGATTTCACAAACAAGATCAAACAACTAAGCGTGACTCGCACTTCGGTCAGGCGCTTTGTGTTGTCCGCAGGTTTGCGTTAAGGGAGCTATCGCTTAGTTGAGCGAGAGTGAGTTCAGACTAGGTTATCGGGTGAATAAACTTTAGTTCGAGACTGAGGTTTAAGACCTGCAGTCGAGCTACTTAAATACAGTTTGGGTCATGCTAAATATACTACAAGTGTCTGCAACGGCGCATTAAACACGCTAGACCCGCATGGTGAATGCGATCAAGTCCGGAATACTAGCATAGCAGGATTACGATGAAGGCGATAAGATAAGATAGAATGTGAAATCGTAATAATCACTGCCCATTCATCTACAGTCACATCTATATGATTTGGGTTAAATGATGAATGCTGTCCGGGAAATCACATACCAAGTGGATGGGCCCTTGGCCAGATGAAGAAAGTGGGCCTAAGATGGAATGGTCTATCAACACATATTTACAGTCTCCCAACATTCCAGTACAAGCGAAAAAGAAGTCCAGTGTCCTCTCCACTGACTGTTTGAAGGCTTTCAAGTACACCTTCCGCCAACCCTGTGCTTTCCTTGCAGATAGTATCAAAGACCATGCAAAATGAATGGCAGAAGTCTTTGCAAAATCAGCAATGCGAAGTGAGACTAGAGAATCCAAAGGTTTGGTGAATGCATCATGGGCAAGTGGTGTGTCGGGAAAGAGAATCAGAGAGTACTGCTCCTGAAGACGATATATTATGTCAAAATATGCCTGTCTCCCCTCGCTGAGTGGCCCATATGCATCTGGTTTATGAGCATCAAAAATAGCGACAATGTCTAAGGCAGGAAGGGAGAGGAGCAAGTTGCTGAGTGCAACTATGTCGAGAAGCCCTTCAGCTGTATTGACCTTGAATTTGGACGAATCATTTTCTATGCCTGAAACCATCCTGATGAGGCATCAGAGAAAACAATTAGTTGATTGGCTTACTATCAGTGTTCAGCCCATCTTCAAGGTACAAAATCAGTCAAAAGAGGAGATCCCTCAGTTGGAAGTACAGAACTCTCTCAATTTCGACCCCATGTATATAAGTATCAACCTGACCCAAAATGGTTTTTGACAAAGTTGTAGTAGTGTAAAAATGTTGTCCTCTGACAATGGAATTTTTGAGTGTCGCTACTGCATGAAGAGTGCCTGGTTGAATGAAACTATTCTTGTTATCAGCGGTAATCACACCATATCATTGAAAGGATGTACAGGACATTACCAGGCTCGAGGACAACAACTTCTGCTTTCCATTGCTTTGGGTCATTAACAAAGTCAGAATCCCAGTCATGGTACGCATGTATCAACTTGTCATGCTTTTTAACGTGACGTTGAAAGAGGTACCAAAGCTGGTGGCCACAATGAACTTGGATAACTGTACAAACCCCAAGACAATAGGGCTTGATGCGGTCAATAGCACTTTTTGTTGCCACATACCAGAAGTGGGTGGCGGATGCAGGATACCCCTCTGTCTGAAAGATGCACTCTGTGTTAACAGACGTCTGTTTGAAAACTCCCATGTCACTGGAAAAAATTCTACAAATAAGTCAGTTTTGAAACAAGAGTTCATTTTCGCTCCTTATAGTTGTAAGGGATGCAAATCCTGGGTGCGGCAGGGCAGATGAAGTGCACTCAAAATAAGACCTTCATTTTCCTGGCTTTCTTCATGCAGTTCACGTAAAGACAGATGCATGTCATGGCCCTGTCCTTGGTGGTCTGTATACTGTGTTAATATATTGTCGTGTTGCAAACAAAAAACACAAACCTTGAAAATCTCGATTTGCATCAGGATTTCTGATCTTAGAAAGTGAAGACAGTGTCCAAGTGATCTAAGATGTCTTTGCACCAACCACTAGTATGTTGTGGTCATGAAAACGTTCAAGAGTGCGAACAGGATTGTTGATGGCCAAATTGAAATCCAGGCGATATACCAGCGCTGACTCTACAGCAGGTGCTACAGAAAGTGAAACTGAGGCATTAATACAGCACTTATGCCATCCATCCAGCAATGCTCGATCTTGAACCTCCTAAAAAACATCATTTATAGGATTTCGAAAAAGGGATGGGTGACATACATTACTAAGCAATGGCAAATGATAGAATGTATGGTATCTTTCACCCACTAAAATGGGGGGAGACTCAACCATTGTTCCAGAACGAGCTAGGTTGCGATCTTGTTTTAGTTGCTTTCGGCTAGCTGATACAGATGTAGATCGTTGCCTCTTTTGGTGATACAAGAAGGGATACTTGTTTGCTCAAACAAACAAAGAACCATCTTCACCAATTTGACCGAGCTCAATGGTGGGGAGGTCGTTAATGTTCAAGTCAGTGTTCGGTGGATGGGGCCAGAGTGCCGGAAAGTGTCTGTGGCCCCATTGTTCCACTTGCAATGTCAAGAGGCGGTGAACCTTGGGAATCGAACCAAGTGTAAAAGCTGGGAGGTGGCAGGCATTAAGAAGTAATTGAGGAGGGGCACTGCAAGACCTTGGTTTCCATTTTACTCGGTGTTTCTGTGCCGGCAATGATGAACGTCCTCTGCATTGTTCTGCCTGGGGTCCCACCTTGTGAGCTCCCTCAAAGTTTCGACTATCATTAAGCCAAGCAACATTTGCCAATCCTACATGAACCTCCAGGCCAAGGATTTGGTTACACTGAACAAGGGCAGCAAATGCATCAGAAAACCAGGTATCCGCTCCCTCAGAGTCACCTCGGATCAATGGTGCAGCCTCAGTCAAGAAGTTTGTCAATCCAGTGTCACTTGTCCAACAGCCCCACATGACACTGATAATACAATGCCAGAGCATTTCCTCAATATGTTGGAGGAGTTCCGGTTTTCCATAAGATGCAAGTCATCCTCCGACCTGCAAGCAAACATCAGTGATACCTTTGTGAGATGGTAAAAAAAAACTCCTACCTGTAAAGTAAGTGAGGTGGAGATATGTTTCTTGGAACCTGGGTACAGAATGAGCAGGAATGGTGATATCACAACGGCATCAATGAAAGCTTTCTTCCAATGTTGCACATTTTGTTCAAAAGTCTCCTCAAAGATCATTGTAGTTCTGAGGTGGTCCGAGTGTTCAAACCTTACAGTTAGAGCGAGTACCATGAATACTAAGGGAATCTTACCTTTACGAATGAAAGTTTTTGCAAAGAAACAATCAGAAATTGATTTAAACAGTGTTGGATCCCCTTACAAGGCAAAGCACTGAGCGAATATGAAAAGCGATGCCATCCAAAATACAAAGGGCATTGGTGTAGGTTTTGATGGACTCATCCTTCTGGTTGTTCACCAGGAGGCAAATATCATGATAGACATTCTCTTGTTGGTTAGTTGCCCATGGACTTGGCATTAATCTGTTCCTATATGCACCAAGCGATGTGTAAAGTTCATTCAACTTCATGGTCCATTGCTCCAGCAGCTCCCGAATCTACCAGACAGGATTAGGAAGGCTCTCACATTCAAGAAATGACTAACTCACAAAAGCTGGGATAGTATGAATGAGTCGGGATACACGAAAAGATGCAGGCCATGTCCACCACCTTTGCAAGGATAATGGTGTCAAGAATTGCATCAAATTGGTCTTCTTCTGTGGTGCTGATTTCATCGATACAGGCCTTTTCAGGTTCGCACCAATATCGGTCAGCAAACTGCTTCAGTGATCGTCCCATCGCGATATCTCCCAATTAATAGACTTTTCAGTGCAAATATGACATTAACTGCATCCTCAAGCTCTAAGGTCAGAGAAGCATCATACCTAAATTGATGAGTGAGGAGCCGGATGATGGACCAAGATAGGATTGAGATAGGATCTCATTTACTCCCTTGACTTCAGCTATTCGTGAACCCAGATCAGAATTTTAATAAATTATTTAAGTATCTATATATATTGATTTATTTTGAGTCTATAGCTGCTTATAGCAAATAACAAGTCTGATTAATAAAAATCACAAGACCTTATCCATATACAGCAATGGCAAGGTGCCAGGGGTGCTCAGGCACAATCTCATTTGAAATGAGCATACCAGTCTTGTATTCCATACAAGAGGATTTCAAAATATGGACAGATCATAGTAATTTGCAATACTTCTGAAAGCTGCAAAAACTCAATTGAAGACAAGCACAATGGGTTACAGAGCTAGCAGAGTACCACTACACTCTGCATCACAAGCCAGGCATTGCTAACAAAAAGGCAGACCTGCTTAGTCAGCAAGCAGATCATGAACAAGGAAAGGCAGACAACCAGGATGTGGTACTGCTTAAACCAGAGATGTTCTGTGTCCTGACTGTGCCAGAGCAAGGGGAAACACAGAATAAAATTCAAAGTGCAACTAGAGACATAACTTGATGGGACAAGGGGATAGAAGCTTCTCTCCATCATTTTAAAGGAATGACAAAGGAAGAAGGACTTCTATACTATGATGGGCACATATATGTACCCAGAGACATGAAGCTGAGAGGAGAACTTATTGCCATTCACCATGACCACATAATGGCGGGACACCCTAGGATAGAAAAGATGAAGGAACTAGTACAGAGGGAATATTGGTGGCCAAAGCTCAAACAGGACATTGAACACTATGTAAAGGGATGCAAAACTTGTCAGCGAACCAAAAGCAACATGCAGTCAAGAAAAGCCCTGCTTCACCCAAACACAATTCTCACCTGACCTTGGGAACATATCTCAGTCGACATGATGACTCACCTCCCAGACTTGAATGGATATAATGCCATCCTCCTGATAGTAGATCGATTTTCTAAAGAAATCATTTTGATTCCATGTTCCGATGAACTATCCTCCCTTGGCTGGGCAAAAATCCTACAGGATCAAGTATGGGCAAAACATGGTATGCTGCTCAAAGTTATCTCAGATAGGGGACCCCAATTTGTTTCCAAGTTCATGAAAGCATTGTATGACATGCTTCATATACAAGGAAACTCTTTGACTGCCTATCATCCCCAAACTGACAGACAAACAGAGAGAGCAAATCAAGAGGTTGAGAAGTATCTACATATCTTCATCAATTATCAACAAAATGATTGGAGTGAGTGGTTACCCATAGCTGCTTTTCAGCACAATAACCAAAAACACTCAGCCACTGGTTACTCCCCTTTCAAAATCAATCATGGGCAAAACCCTAGAGTGGGACCAATAACAGTGAAAGAAGGCATGATACCCACCACAGCTGACTTTATCACCAACATCCAGAAAGTTCACAAACAAACAGAAGCAGCACTAGGGAAGGCAGCAGAGATGATGAAAAGACAATACAATAAACACCGATGAGAGGCCGAAGAGTATCAACCTGGAGACAAGGTCTGGTTAGATTCTACCAACCTTCATCTACCTTGACCCATGAAAAAATTAGGTGATAAGTGAGTAGGACCCTTTGAGGTCATATCCAAACACAGTGCCTCTGTCTACAAGTTAAAACTACCACCTGCCTGGAAATTTTATAATCGCTTCAATGAAGCACTTCTCACTTGATACCACCCTCCACAATTCCCAAATCAAGAACAACCCCCTCTGCCACCACCAGATCTCATGGATGGTCAAGAGGAATATGAAGTGGAAGAGGTACTGGATTGTTGAGAAAGAAACATAGGGTGAGGAAAGAAGCGAAGAACCTGCACTGAGTACCTAGTCAAGTGGAAAGGTTACTCGCATGAGGAAAACACTTGGGTAGATGAGATGGAGTTGGACAATGCCAGGGACACAATAGAAGATTTCGAACAAGTATCTTTTATAATGCATCCATCAACCAAATGGTGGGACCCTGACTTTTCAGCAAATCCTGACCTAGAAGACTGGTCAGACACCATATCCATTGATATGCCTGGTATCAGGCTACCCATAGATTTTGCAATTTTACATCAGTTGATGCAATCTACAAGTGGTACAAAGAGCTACAGTGGAGGCTTTGCGCTGGTAGCTAAATACTACATAAAAGAATGAAAGCACAGCAGTACAGAACAGACTTAGAAATGACGTCTCGAAGAGTCAATTCTACCAGCCATCAACATGCCAAGCTAAGCCCTACCTAAACAAGACTATTACAGTCAAATCTCGGGGACTCATCTGTATGAAGTATAAAAACCAAGAAGTTGAAGAATGGAATGAACTAGATGCCTCATCACCTCGACAAGTAGAAAGAACCTGTCAAGAAAAATTGCTAAGTCAAGAAACAGATCAGCTTTCAAGATCAACTCAGGCTAGGAAAGGAATAACCTTGGAAGAATGAATAGCCACATTGGGTACCAAGGTGACTGACCCTGATCACGCAGTGATCAACAGAATATAATCTCAGACCTGCAGCCAATCACGATCGATGGTTACATCCTCGAGATCCTGCGCATACCACAGTATTCAATACATACGGTGCCCGGCAAGCCTTGCAGACAGAAGAAGGAGCACCCATGGACCAGTAGGGCACTCCTCGGTGACAGAATAACCCAGTGCAGTCATGTCGAACTGAATAGAAACTACGGAATGGTGCAATACTTGTAGGATAGTGACTCACCGTTTGTATTAATTCCAAAGCTCATACCATAATTACTGTAGATATGGGCTCCTATACCTAGAACATGAATCATATAAATTAGCAGCGACTAGACGCATAACAACAGGAAAGCATTCCCCCTTGTTTGTGCTAGTAGCCTGTATAGCTACCTAATCAATCACTGGTTTTATTGCATATCCTCAACTGAAGTGAATTAAGTTACCAAAGTCAACCCATAAGGGCAACTACAGTAATCTAGAAGAGTTAAGTAGGAAGTAGAGCTGTCCCCACATTTGCACCTTGCTAGTTAATTGAACTGCTCTGCAGACAAAGGCCTTGTGCCCTCTCTCTCCGAGATTAGTGATCTAGACGTGCTGAGTTGACTTTAAGTCAAAAGACCTCATCTAGTTGAAGTAAAATAAGCCCTAGAATGCTTTAAGTTCAAACAATCGTCGAGTTCAAGGAACTCCAGAGTCTGTGTACTCTTTGCAAGTCTTGTACTTGAAGTCAGAACCTGAGCGTTCTTTGTAGAGTGATTTTTGCACTCTTTGTAGACCTCAGAGTCTTTGGTTGTTTGATTTATTTGAAGTGTCCACTAGAAGCTCTTCTAGATGACGTCAAAACGAGTATAACTTGCTCAACTATACCTTACAAAACAAGTTCATAAAACCCCGCTATTGCGGACTAGTGTACTTTGTGTAAAACACATCGAAAGAAGAATTGAAGTTGTTTTCAGGCAAAACCCCACTAGATTATCTAAATCTAAGTACATTGTGAGTGCTTCTATCATACTCACCCTCGAACTTATATACATTGGTGATAGTGTGTGTGTGTGTAATTTAGTATCTAGATTGATGATCTAGACACTTGTTTCATTTGTGCACTGACCGTTACTGAGCACATCACTGTTACTGAATCAGAAATGGATCATCCATTGGTCCAAGCCATTCAGGAATATCTGACATGGCCTATAACACTTGCAGTCAGGATGACTGCCTTAACTGGGGGGTAATATTATGATTTTGCAGTATCTTATCTTATCTGACCTCATTGTAATCATGCTATGCTAAGTATCTGACTCTGATCATATCATAACCACATGTTAACCACACTGCTACAGACTCTTGTAACTAATATTAGAACTACTAACTTGTATATAAGTATCTCAACTGTAGGTCTTAAACCTCAGTCTCAAACTAAAGTTTATTCACCTGATAACTTGGCCAGAACTCACTCTCAAATACTGAGTGTGCATGCTCCCTGCACATAAACCTGTGAACTTCATACATGACTGACTGAACATGAGTCACACATTGTTGTTTGATCTTGTTTGTGTAATCAGTCACTAACAGAGAAGGGCTGTAGGTATTATTAGCATACTACCTAACATGTATATAAGTCAGCCTCAGCTGGGACTAAACCCCAGCTTTGGCTAAAGTTATACACTCCCAACTCTTACTGAACTCCCTGTTTCATGACTAAGCAGTCTGCCACCATCCATGCAAACCTACAATGCTGTCCACCCTGTGAATCACCAAATGTGAGTGACACATTGGACTCACACCTTGTAGCATTTTGAGTTGGTGCATAACATGATGAGAGTAGAAGAGAGAGTTAAATTATTGTCTCCTGTAGAGACTTTACACATATTTATACTACTTGTAATTATTCTAGAAAGTTCTAATTTACTAAGCATCCATCCTTCAAGTATATTCTACAACTCTCTAATGCATGAGCTAGCCATGAGCTATTGAGCTCAAAGGTTACTCCAGATGTTGCTGGATTGCCAAGGCATGGCATGTTTGTCACTATATCACAAACCACTAGGTCAGTCACAACACATCAAACCATCAAAGCTCAAAGATAGCATCTGGATCTTTGTTGTAGGTACTGGAAATGATGATCTCAGGTGCTTCCCATGACCAGTGTGTGAGCTCTGAATGGGATACAAGACTTCACAAGGATGAGAAAAGTCATCAGATGCAGACAAAGAAACCCACCTGATACTACTTCTTGACATGAGAACATTGAACAGTAAGTTGAACCATGATCATACAATTTCTTGAAAGTCCAGCACTAAGCCTTATCCTCAGGTTTTCAGATGATGAAGCCTGGGCCCAAGCCTTCACCAAGCCTGCCCCCAGGACTCAGCTTTTCAGAGCCTGGCCCAGCTTGGCTAGGGCTTTAGGCCAGGCCCTGTAGATCACTACATACACTCCAGAATTTGATGATGAGAGGTTCAGCAGGTGCATATCATAGGCTAGCATTAGTTTTTCTCAAAAATGATCAGATAGTTCTGCATCTACATCAAACAAGAATGTTATGAGACTTTACAGTGATACCTGGGCCTTTCAACATCTTTGTTTCCTTCCAGTTGATCATTGCAAACACTGACACTTTCTCAAATCTCTGATCTGGTAGTTGTCGGCCAATAGCCCAATGTGAAGGCCATCCATCATTACCAAGCAGTGTGTATGAATCTTTGGGTATTGGGTATTGGTGGGTGGCAATGATTTTGAATAGGCATGCCATTCCATGCTCATCTTCAACAACTAATTCTCCAAATCGATCACCCCCTTCTGCTGATCCCTTGTCCAAACCCTGCACAAGCCCCTGTTGAATGCAAGGCCCTTCATACCAGTCCTCATCCATCACATCATCATGCCCAACATCCCCGAGGCTGCTGTCTACATCCTCTGGCAGAGGGTTCATCATGACCTGCTCCCATGTTGGTCTCCATTTTTTGCATCCTTGTCCTGCTTCAGGATACAAAAAGAGGAAGTCCACCCGCATAACAGAGCGCATTGTGTTCACCAGTACTGTCCACGCTTCCTCAAGAGACTCACTCTCATGATATGCAGGTATTGTCTTGGGCCACAGAGGGAATGCCAGTCCAGCAACTTTGTCCACAGGATTGGTCGACACTCGCTTCTGCATGTCTGCCAGTGCACTAAAAATATACTGATATCTTCTCTGGAAGGACTTTAACTGCCTGTGAAATTGTGTCAGTATCTCTATCTCATAGTTGCCATCCTCATCAATTGGCCTGGCATGCATTGGCCCATCAGGTGTATCCCCAGCAATGATCCTCTCAGAGCCAACCTCCTGCACTGTCCAAGCACACCTAAACCAACTCCGATCACTCTCCAAGTCACCCTCCTTCAAAATCAAAGGCTGCCCCAATCCACTCAGGTAGATCACCACCCTTACAAAGCGATACACTCTTCCAATTGTGGGCACATCCAGCTTCCACTCCTCCACACGCAGATCCTCCCTCAGCCCCCCCACCTGTCTCAAACAGAGCACATCCAGCCACGTGTACTCATATCCCAGATTCAGCATCTCAATCCTGATCAAGCGGAGATCTGCATCGTTCGGGATGGGCACCGGCCATTTCTTCCCATTGATAGGAGTCCACACGTCGACGCGATCCTTCTCATCCACCCATGCATGGGATATTGGTTCTGGCCATCCCTCGGTGACCCAGTATGGCACCACGCGATTGCTGTACAGGTCCCACACACGTCGAGGTGGAAGATCTGGTTCGACGATCCGGTTTCCTGCCAGTGCTTCTCGTCGCATCTTCCAGTCACCCTCTTCATGTTTGCGTAGTTCGTCTTGCATGGTGCCGCCGTCATAGCTCTTCCATACGCGGCGGAGACGGCCGTATGCGGCACCAAAGTCGTAGTTTTGTGTGATGCAGTCCTCGAGAAGGGAGGAGACGGATGGTGTGTCCAGGGTGTGTGATGTTTCAAGGATGGCGTTGAGTAGATCTAAGATTCCTTGGATGCCGAGGGAAGCGCAGGGTACGTTTGCTAAAGCGGAGGATATCACTTCCCGCCTTGGGCCGTCTTCATTCTCGCCAGTGTACTTCCTTTGCAGAGGAACTTGAATCGAAGACTCCGCTTTGCCAGTCTCAGTGAAGGCAGAAATGACCTCTACGGCCTAGGCAGATGCTCGTTCACTGATACCTCATCCATTTATTTTTGCATGACTTACTGTTTCTATTTTAGATCGTACAAGAGAATCATAGTCGCCATAACCAGGGAGCTCGTCGCCTTTACCGACACTGGGACTAGCGAGCCGGTTCTCTACGGCTGCGGTCTGGGTTTTCAAAATAGGGGTGTCCGACAGCGGTTCGGGATGACAGTGGGGTGATGGGTTTGGTGTCACGTCCAAGGAATGATTGACATCCCCTGAGGCAGAACCAGAATCCTGGCGCACTATCACTGGTTGCGACTCTGACGGCGCGGATGTGTTGACATTGGGATTGTGGTTGGGTGTTCCATCACTGGCAGAAGGGGAGTCCTTCAATTTCTGAACGTGTTTACTCGTCGACTCGGCAGGGTTCGAAAGTTGTTGTTCTATCATTTTCAATATCATACTGAGTACTCGAAGCATCTGTAGATTAATGGTACGCACCGTTTCCCATTTTCTCAACTGAGACGAATACGCATACAAGGTAGTGCGGACGAAGGTGGGATTGACACGAGGCGGGTAGCAGGTCTCGCAGGTCACCCCAGGCTCACCGTGTTTGCAGCGTGGTTGAACTAACGACATCCCGCATGATCCGTGCCGAAAGAACACGCAGGGATCACACTCCTCGCCGTCCAAGACGGATTTCACGCAACGATTGGACTTGATAATCAATCTACAAAGATAAAATGCGAAGACGAAGAATAGATCCATCAGGTTCGGGTGAATATCAAATTCATTCCCGACTGGTAGTATCGAGACACTTGTACTGAGCTATTATATATCGCTACGCCTGCTGTAAGTCTATCACTCTTCCTGACTCCGACGAACGCTAAGGAGAGACATGAGCAACAGCAACTCGCAATACACCAGCAATCTCACCTATACGCATGATAGAAACCGCACCAAAATCCTACCAGCTCCGACAGAAAGAATCCTTGTTCGTGCAGTGCTCGGTGTTCTGCGTAGTTTGTTAAATAGTGACTTGAATAAAAGACGGGCAGTACGTACCCTCGAGTTACAGACTGATTGCTCGCCCACCCTCTACGATTTACTGAATCCGTACCCATTTCTTCGTCGAACTTCACGGAACACGCTGGCAGAGTAATCATCTTGCGAAAGGTGAACCAGCCGGAAGGGGCGTATACATTGAGGTTGTCAATGCCGGGTTATTGAAGGATATCAACGAGGGCCAGGACGGGGTTGCGGTGTAGGAGACATGATGATCACAGTTCCCATCAACCTGTGAATGTGTTAGCCACGATAAAGAGGGGCGAGTCACGACCAAATGCGTCGCACCTTTGCTCCAGGTGTCGCAAAAGAAATCCTTCAGACCTCTTAGACAGAAGCTCTTAAATACCAGTGGCGACCTCACGAGTGTTGGTTCGAGCAAATACAAGGAGAGGGTGGTGGCGAAAGGGGAAGACACGGGTTAGTTTTGACCTTCCATTTCTGGACTCCGAGGTCGTCCGGCTTTTGAATAATGCCGGCCCCATACCGCGCAACAGTATTCATGAATCATGTGCTGATCTCTCCGGTAAAATTACGGCACTGGTCTCGTTATCTCGCTTCTGAGGCACCCGAAGAAACGCCCTGTAGCAGTCCGCCAACGGAAAACAAGGCATGCACTATGCACTACTCACTAGAATGTTTTCCTCATTAAAGTACGAAAATACAAAAAAAATGGAATTGCCAGCTTAGCTTACCTCTTTGCAATTTCGTCGAGCATCAATTCAACATTAAAGATTCCTCCAGGAATATCAACTCCTAGACACCCGGTGAGATCGGGTCCTTTGTAGCTTCAGAGGGTATTATTCCACAAAACTGACATTAGTCGCGTGCGACAAATTGAGGAGAAAGAACTGACTACAACCAGCCAGTTCATCGATTGAGCGTGTGATATCACCAGGCGCCTAAGTGGGGCCTCGATGTGTTTCTCCTCATCACGGATCCAATGCTTGCTTCTATTCACCCTGATGGACGAGCCATGGCAGAAAAACAGGAAGTTAACATTGCGATAGCAAGGTCAAGGGTCGTCGTTCAAAGGACAGGAAGAGCATCGTCTATTGGCTAGATTTAAGTAAAAGCTGGAGAGGAATTTGACGGAGGGCATACATTCGAAATCCAGCTGTAACATTGTAATAGGATTTGATGGGCCATAAGACGATGCCGAGGAGTGTGGGTATCGGGTATTGAGTGGATGCGAGCACGCTGTACCGACTACGCTAATAATCATAGTGTTAATACAGATAACTCTATTAAATTGATTCAGTTCCCAAATTCACGGATTGAAAATGATCGACGCACCTGGTATACAGTCCCTCCAATAGGCCCCTACACACTAGAGTATCGAGACCATCTAACCTTGAAGATGGTGCCCTGATCGTCGTCGTAGGTACTTGACATCGTCGACCAGCGTGCAATTCCCAAATGGCATGCGAAACTCCACAAGGATAACAGAATCCCTCTGATGCGGACAGAGAAGCTGATTATACTGCTTCGTGACGTTGGATTAATCCCAGAGTGCGTCAAATAGTGATCCCCTTGGAAGTCGGGGTCCCTGCAACGTAGGTCTTGGCAGCGTTGGAGTATATTATAAGAAGCGAAGGGAGTGAACTGCGAAAGGGTAGTAATGAGGAACGGATTAGCAGGGAATCAACACTGATACGCACCACATCTGCACTGCTACCCAAAGCGCCTTCTAGCAGCATCCTTCAAAGGACCGAATACGTAGCATACAAATACCAGACTGGAAGGAATATTGCAGGAGAACACGAGTACGGGATAAGAAGTCAACGTGAAGGCTGCGTGTGGAAAGTGCACGTCAGCTTCATTCTGTCTGGTTAACGGCGACCCCTACTTTCATACACCTCGTTTGGAGTCTCCCATCTTTGCCTCAAGCGTGTTGCTCTCTGACCTTACGAAGGAACCTGTGAAAAAATGGTGAGCATCATAACAGCGACATGGAAGCACCGGCGTACCTCACTAAGATTCAGCCCTACTAACCTTCATCAGAGTTAGGCGCCCGAAAGCTGTCGTGAGAGACGGTGTGAAATTTCTCATGGTGTCGAAATATATTTATCTACTTCCATGTAAATAAGTTGGTTCGATTTGATGAACACCGATAGGAAGGACATACCAATATCAATGGCAACTTCTTGAATTATCGACGAAGGGTTCCTCACTTTACCAGCGCAGCCCAATTCCTAACTGATCCCATCTCTCGGGAGTCATGGGTGCAACCATGTTCAGTACAGTCTGCGATTAGGTTCTCATAGTTCATAGCACCATCACGTACACCGACTATAAACGCAACGTGCGGAAGGAGCATCGTTATGATGGAGGTATAGTGTTGAATATTAGGTCACAGCATCTTTCGGACAGGTATTAGTCGAGGGAAGAGCGTTATCAAAAGAACGTACCTACACACGCTTCGCTCCTTGCATTCGGTGCCTCTCAAAGATTGATCATGTCTTCTCCGTTCCATAACGACCGACTACAGCCAGAAAAAATGGGCTCCATTGAAAATTGCGTCTCCCTGAATGTTTTTCATCGGTAACAGATCAATAAGATCAACGCAATGTAAGAAAGAACAATGAAGGAAGATCCGCAAACCTCCGCTTAGCTAGCTCTGTGCCATGCAGTGCAACACCGCGTGAATGCCTCCCAGAGTACTAGCAGAATCATTTCAGACTGATGGTCGTGTTAGTATTCCATGTCAAGGAAATACTAAGATCCTTGATTTTTGAGGGTGAGATCGTGCTAATTGATAAGTAAACATTTCAGAAAAAAAAACGTACACCGATACCAAATTGAGTACCTACCTGATTTTCCCCTGCTGTCACAACGTCGACCAAGTCTCATTGATATCCACGCACTGCTCCAGGTGGAACATACGCCATCACAAAGTAATATATTGCAGGCGAGGAAAACAACTATTCAACGAGATCAATTAGAGGTACCGGATGGAGGAATGCTATGATTTGGCGAGCCACGATGTCGATACCTGGCTGAGAAAGCAGATCAACAATTTAATTTGCTGGTGGTCATCAACTCGTTCAGACGCGGTGGCAGGAATCGATGGCATTGCGACGGGGTACGGTATTGGTAAGAAGATTGCATTTCACAGACATTATGTCTCAACTATAAATAGCTCATGAGAGCGACCTAGCTAAGTGAGAATTAAACCATACGTACCATGAACCCGCCGACCTGAGTGGCTTTCGCCTTGTAACTCTATCGTCATGTCATCCCCGGGGCGCAGCCCAAATATCTTGCTTGAACAAGGTATCGGAGTCATGCATTGGGACTACCAGGAGGTGCTGTGCTTGATACCTAGTAGCAAACGTGAGCAGAAGGAAACACAGAAACACGACACCAATCACCTCAAATTGACTTTTGGCACTCATATTCCCTTGTGAAAGTATACTAAGCACCGCAGATTTCTAAGGAAACGGCTGCCTCATATTCAAAGGCAAGATCACCCCAATCGTCGTTGAGAAAAAGACACTGCAAAGCCAGGGTGAGCATCGTTTGTCAACTATAGACGCCCCATTAGATCGATGAGCGTTGGGAGGAATCGGACAGTACGCACCATCCACATGGTAATGCGAGGGCTCGTTCACGTCATACAATTGTAGCTCCCATGACATGTAACCTCCTGCTCCTAGTCCTTCTGCTTTTAATGTTTGCGCAAACAGGGTATCAAGTTTGATTAGGCCTAGAATACGAACTTGAACAACAATAGAGTTGTTGGGCCGGATATCTGGGGGTAGAGGTGAGAAACCGCGAGATAAATACATGGACGCTCACTGGTACGAACTTGATGCATCTGATGGCTTGTGGAGATGATGATATATGCCATCCGTCAGCAAGCCACGCAATTTTGGGCACAGCAACCAACTTCCATACAAACGGGGCATATGTCCGGCATATTCCTGCATGTTTCTTGTCGGTAGGCGTGAAACTGCACCTAAATACGACAGGAGAGTGCTTGCATAGGCAGCATATGAGAACAGATTCGAAACGTCCCGTGAACCAGTCATCACCCTTTGATATGGTCCTGGAACGAAAGTAGTGCTAGTCGTTTCTTGAATTTTGGATGGGGGCATGACACCGAGGTCATGCTAAAAGCTCTGAGGGAGTATATCAAGCAGGTTATGCAGTACAAGCAGAATTACTCACAGGCCATAGTACTTCTGCTGCCAGAAGTTTGCCCTCCGATGGAAATAACTCTCCATAACTCGTTGACTCAGCCGGTAGAAATAAGCTGGCCATCCTGGGGTGTGTGAGTTCTAGTGGCCCTCGCGTCTTCTACGTTTGATTGGAAGTGGCGTGTGTTTTGAAAGGTAGAGAAGAGCAGGCGAGGGTCGACGTTAAGACGAAATTGCCGTTCGGCATATTTCGGCATCACGTTCCGCATGAGCCCTGCGGCCCGCTTCCCGACGGCTTCTTTGCGCGCACATCGTTGAGGATTGCCTGAAGTGACTAGCGACTCATACTTGTCTGTCGACAATCTCTCGACGTGGTAAATACCGTGCAAAAGAAACTCAGACGGATCGGTTCTTCTTATATAATAGACTACACCTGGGAACTCGAGCGAATAGAGTTGCAGAGCATCTTGGAACCAAATCATTGAGAATTGTCTTCCGACAGGCAAAGTCTGCTTGTACGCAGGTGCAGAGCGTCACGAAGAGACAAATTCTGATTGGTACGGCAGGAATGTGCATTAAAGAGAGCCGAAGGACTGGCTGAAGAAGATCCGAAATGGTCACAACGACATGGGAAGTTAGTCGGGCGCCTAAGTGGAACCCTCAACATGCTTCTCTTCATCACAGTCTCTATGCCATTCCTACCTCGCTTCCATTCACCCCGAAAGGCTCCCACGATTGGTACGTCGCCCTGATGGACGAGTCATGAAGGCAAACCACAACGTCGACACTGCGATAGCAATATCGTTCCGAGGACGGGAAGAGCATTGTCTGTTGGCTAGGATTAAGTAGGCGCCTCAATCTGATAGCGACATTAACATAGGTTCTGATGAGATGATACTCGTGGCAGACTCGGTCGAGTAAGCAGATAATTGTAGCGCTCTGACAGATGATTCTATTTAACTTGATTTAGATTACGAATTAATGGATAGAAAATGAGGGACAGGTGATAGACGCACCCGGTATATTTTCCTCTGCGGATTGAAGTATTGACCATCGAGCCGTCGAAGCTTGAAGATAGCATCTGCATCATTGTCCTAGGTATTGGACATCGTGATCTTAGGCACCTCCCATGTCCGGCATCCTGGGATGGGATGCGGAACTTTAGACAGATAAGAAAAGTCATTAGACGCAGACAAAGGAACTCACGGGATACAGCTTCTTGACATGAGATTATGTATCAGCAAGTCGAAACATGATCATACGATTTCTTGAAAGTCCAGCGCTAAGCCTTAATCAGAGTTAAGCGCCCAAAATTGTTGCGAAAGACAATGTCCAAAAGATTGTAATATCCAGTTGTCGTAATGCTAGTCATGTCTATCAGTTTCCGCGTGAGTAAGGTAGTTTGATTCCTTGAACAGGGATAGGAAGGGCGAACCTTTCAGTGGTGACTTCTTAAAGCGAAGCGTCTCACGATACCAGCTCAGTCGTACTCCGAGCAGGTCCCGTCTCGCAGAAGCCTGGCTATCAATAGGTAAAACTGTGTTCCATGCTGTTCCTCGATTAGACGCCCATAGTTCCTGGCACCATCACGTACACCAACTCTGAACACAGCGCACGGAAGGAGCGTCGTTATTTACTGCACAGGGTCTGTTAGTTCAGAGAATAGCGTTATCAGGAGAAATTACCCCCACAACTCTTGCTCATTGAGGTCCTCGTGCTAGTCCTCAGCACAGACCATTCATGCGGTCTCATGTCATGTATCGACGTGACCGACTGCGCTTAAAATGATATTGTTTAGGACGGGAGTCTCCCACGACGATTGACATCTGTTAAATATCACTGATGTTAGCGCAATGACAAAGAATTAAAAGGCGCACCTTGCAAGGTTCTATTTAGCTGGCTTTGAATCACATCAACATCGCAAAACGTCCTAGCCTACCGTCCCCGTCGTCTCAGACCGAGTCTCATTGCTATTCCATGCCAAGGAATCGCTATAATTGCACGGACTTCCAGGGATTATATCAAGCGCAAGAATGTCCTGATCAATGCGTCGAGACATCAGCATGAGACCATACTGCGAAGCATAATTAAACCCCCACACAGTTTCCCCCCGCTCACATAGTCGACCAAGATGTGCCATTATTCACCGACTGCGCTGGGTAGAACACATGGCATCACGAAACGCCCTGCATGGCAGATGAACAGATAGAACTCTAATAGACAATATCAATTATCTGGTGCCGGGTGGAGATAAAGATGCTCACCGGCTTAAATCTAGCGAACAGGAAAGCAGGATCACGAATGATTGATCGCCCTTGATTGCCATCTAGTGCCCCGCTTTCTTCTGCCTGCCAACAGGGGCATGCATGGTCCTAAGACGAGAGGTGTATAGCTGTGCAACGTCAGTACTTCTTTAGCAGTGGGGGATAGAAAGATCATCACAGACAGTGACGATCCCCAGGTTCGGGAACTCGGTGGCTGGAGCAGAATAAGGCAGCGTGAGATCGGGGTTGGCCAGGCTTCCGCAATCTACAACAACGCAAAGAGAGCCGAGAACTTAGCGAGATCGATGGGACAATTTTCTTTCTGATGAAGAAGAAAGATTGAGATTGGCAGAGACACGATGGATACCCCTGGTGGAGAGAATAGATTCGGAACCGAGTTGCTGCTAGTTACGAATGTATTCAGACACGACGACAGGTAAGGGTGGTATTGCGATGGGGGCAGGATTTGAGTGAGATTGTAATTCTTGGAATTTAGATAGTATGGCTTGTTGACTACAAACAGTGAATGAAATCGACATAGTTAAGCCGGAACTATGTAGTACGCACCATCGACACGACAATATGGGACATCTTCCGCATCGCAACCCGCTTGTCGTGTAACCTCTTGTCCTGGACTTAAAATCTTGGACGAACAAGGTATCGAGGTCGCGCAATCCAACAAATGCGAATTTGAACTACGGCTAAGACGTTGTATATCTGTTGGCGAATGTGAGTATAAATACGGAAATCAATGAATAGTAGCATGCACCTGGATATCTCACAGAGATGAAGGTGCATTGTAACTCGTGAGAGCTTTGGTAGAGCACCCTCTATTCTGACGGGCCATTTCTGAGGCGTCAGCGAAAATTCTGCCTTCCGATGGGGATTCTCCATGTATATCGCATGCTTGTCAAGTCGGCTGCGAGAAAATCCGTGTCTGGTAACCACGCCCAGCAATCGAGAGGGTGTTCATAAGCTGTGAGAGTCGTATGGATGACATTTCTTCTGTGTTGGACCAGAAATCGCGGGCGAAGACTGCAGGAGAGAAGGAGGTCGTGGACGTCGATGTGGATAGCAACGCGCGACCAAGGGCGGTCATGATGTCATCAGTAGTATCCGCACTTGATGCCGAGATGTGCCGAAATTCGCTCCGTCTTCTTCGATCATCATCGTCTTCTCGTCCTCTCCTTGAACCCTTCCATCTAGAGCTTCTGATCAACACTTTCTAGCAAAAATCGACATCCGGACGAGTATCATACTTGTTGAACACCCTCTCGACGGCTGCCTATGGTTTCCAAACGCGTGTTCCTCCCAGATTTTTGTGACCTGCCAGGTCGCGATCGCAGGCGAAGGAGAATGTTTATTGGAAAGCGGGCTTTTGGCATACGGGAATTCTGTGGTGTGTATGCAATGCTGCTGGCCATGTTTTGTCTGCTTACCTTATTCCCACAAAGTCGCCTAATACGACATTTTGCACCTCCAACAACCTCATGGATTTGCAAGCAGCCATCAGGACACGACTACGGCACGGACCACTTGATTATGGCTATCCGACTTTTGCACCTGGAATTTTATCAGCCAGCATCCATCTGGTGAGGAGAACCAGGTACGTTCACCCTTTATTCCACCCTTCAATGTGCCTGGCCGAAGGGCATTATGTGACCTCTGTCTTCAGGATTTGGCTGCTCTCGATCAAACAGCCATCCACGGAGGTTCCCGGTGTACAACGTTGTCCAACGCAACAATCGTCGCATCTGCATTCTTACGCTACTTCTGTGAGTGTTCCCGTTCTGCCCGTTACTTGCAGAACCATGACTTACGTCTATGAAATAGGAATCGCGCATGAAGAAGCCGGATGCATAGCTGGTCATCATAAAACTGGTTACTCCTAGAAATCATACGGACGCATGGATGGGTTGATAATATTGGCATATTTAGGTATTCAGGTGCGCCTCATATGTGCTTTTCGTTACTATGGCTGACCTCCGTCCCATAGGTACCACGTATAACAGATTGGATGTGGTTCAAACCTGGACTTCGAGGACATCGCTACCCCGGTATCATTTTCGCGGAATTCTGGACAACAGTCAGCCAAGGTTTACGTACCATGAGGCCTACGATTCGACACAACTTGTCTGACAGTCAAATCGCCAGATGAATTGTGCGTTGACCCTAACTCCAGACAACACCGGTTCTGTGTTGTGATGGGGACTCGGACGCCTGGTACGGATTGTTGATGGACAGGATGAGCGCGGTCTACCCTGATACCCATTTTTTGACATTCCTTCCACTATTACCTGCCCATTTGCACATGATAGTCATCATGGTGCTCAGCATCCTGACACGCTTGACGGCAAACTCGTTGTTGTCGGGACATACACCATGGACGCCCTCCCCGCCGTTCGGGCCCTCTTCTTTGGCCTGCGTCCACCGGCACTGCCCTTCCATCACACCTACGTCTATTGTCTCCGTGCCACAAACGACATCATTCTCTCCATTCGTTTCCAAGATACCCAAGGGCATCTTCCGCATCAATGGATGTTCCTACACGACTCAACGAATTGATAAAGGGATATCCAAATATGCTTGCCGACCAGTCATTGAGACCGCAACCACATAAGGGCGGGAGTACTTGCCATATCCTCAGTGTTCGTCATAACATACGAACGTATACGAAGGATCTCGTCAAGTCTGCCTCAACATGGGAGTGTAATCTTGGCAAATTTGTCAGCAAATCACCCGACAAGTACTGCGATGGCTATCAGAAACGCATGGATATGCCGTCTCAGTTCGAAGCAGGACAAGAGGATGGAGACCGGTTCCGGAGCCTCACCGATCTAAAGTGGGGGAAATTCGAGTCGCTGGGATTTGGCGGATTGGGTCAAGAGAAGCTGTAGTTTGATTTGAACAAGACTGCTAGAACGGTGTGTGTGTCGCGTTTCCTACCTCTCTATCTTCTCATTTGTTTCAGGAACAGAGTGCGAAACGACCAGTGCTCAGCTGGAATGACCCCTCACCTATAGGATTCACAAGATCAGATATAACGCCTCTCAGCGTGACACTGCAGTTCCCGCCCCCAATGTCAACCACGATCTCCTCTTATCAGCCGGCTGAATACGCCAAGAAGCTGAAAATGGCCGCAAAGCATATACTGGTGTTTGGATGGGATACAGAACCTGTTGTAGGATAGGAGGAAGTCATCGAGGAAGAATTTTTAGACATCTTCTGTGGATGGGCTGGCGTATCAGATATTGGCGAGGCTGAAAGAGAATGTAACTGAGCCCTGGTATGTTCCTTTATCTATCGTATATATTCTACTCAAGCTTTGATTTAGATCGAGTTTCAGCCAGACGCCGTACTTCTGTTCGACGAATTTGTTCCCCTCGAATATCGGCAGCAGATAAGCTCCTCGTCTTCTGGGTCGAGCCAACTTCCTCCTGCTGAATATAGCAGTGTGGATTTTGAGACGCGTCTGGCGAGTCTCGATGGGGAAGACGTGTACGAGGACTACCCACCCATTGACGGCATGCCGAAGAAACGCGAGGTTGCTGACGACGCTTAGGTGGACATCCTGGTCGGGAGTCAAGAACGACGTATGGCTGGCCAGGAGTATGGTGGGTGAGGGAAGGACAGGGGAGAGGATGTTGATCCCGTTAGCCTCGAAGTGCAGAAGGTGCTTAAGGGTGTGAGGAAGATGAGCCAGAGCCCGGAGAGCCAGCGAACGGAGAAAGTCCCTGTAGGGGATGAAGAGGAGGAATCTATTGGATTCGAGAGGGTTCCCTCGAGGCTGGGAATGAACGACTATGTCGATGATCCTCGACATCCACAGTACTACGACGATTCGCTGGATTACGATGCAGATGGCCCTTCGATGACTGAACAGTTGATCCAGTCACTCCATTATGATCAACATGAGTTCGAGGACGATGAACCGGAGCCGGTGGTGGAGGTTGAGGAGGAGAAAGAGGAATTACCGCCCCGACCTGTACCACCCAAACAACCTGGATACTTTGACCTTCATCTGGAACAATGACCTGTAGTGCATCTTAATGGCGATGGTGAGGACCCTGAGCTAGACTTGGTCATGATAGCAATTCTGAAGACGAACTCCTTGGAGCTAGGTGTTCAGCTGCTTCCAAGAGTTCTGCCCATTATAAACCTTGACAAGCAGCCCTCACCCTTGATGGTGCCCATGAAGGTTCCCAACAAGACTGCCATGCTGATCAAGATGGACTGAGAGCGGGAATGGAATGGGGTCTTGCAGGCTACTTCTCCAAGGGCATTGCCTACTCCCATGGTCATGCTGAAGATTGTTATGACACTGGCTCAGAAGGAGGCAGAGGAGGAGGAGGAAGTACTGCCACCACCACATGTACCTCTGATTGGTGAAGATCAGGGCCACATGAGTCTGGGGCAGTATGTGCATGGTGCCCTAGTGCATAATGTATTGGAGGAAGAAGAGGAAGAGTAGATTTTTGTGCTGGTGGTGGTTGTGGTACATGGAATTATATGTATCCCTTCTCTTTTGTTTCTATTGTTTCTTTATGCTTGCTCCTCATTTTTTATACTTATTATCCCTGCTTCCCCTCATATACAACACTCCCTCGCATACTCAGGAATTCTGTCTCGGGTTACAAGGAGCTGGACTCTTTGATTTTATATGTATATCCATTGAGTTGCTTGTTACTGCTTAGTCTCTTTTTTTTTTTGGTTTATTCTATCCATTATTATGATTATCACTCTCTTTCAATCCATATATGAGTCCTTCCAAATTGACTTGTTTTTCTTTTTGTTAATCTGAGCATTATGTTGATTTAACAAGATTGAACTCAGGCTGTTAACTGGATAAGAGTGGTTGGTGGGGTACCCAAGGGAACCAGTGTTTTGTTCCAATTGTTGAAAGGTAAATGTATTACAATGCAACCATTGAAATGATTTCATTTAAGGATGTGTACATGTTGGTGCAGGCAAAGATCTAACATAGGGACAAAGAAATCTTCCTATTGAGAGGTAGGTAGGATTTATTACATTGCATAATAAGGGAAGTAGCTCTTTCAATACATCTAACACCACTACTAACATGCCTAGATCAAACAAGAATGTTACGACACTTTACAGCAATGCCTAGGTCCTTGAGCCTCTTTGCTTCCTTTCTATCAGCCATTACAACCACTGACACTTTCTCAAATCTCTGTTCTGGCAGTTGTTGCCCAACAGCCCAATATTGCTCAGACACCCAGTGATAACTACTACCACGCAGTGTATACAAACCTTCAGGTACCAGGCACTGGTGGGTGGCAATGATTTTGAATGTGTGTACCATTCCATGCACATCTTCAACAACTAACTCTCCATGTCGATCACCTCCTTCTGCTGATCCCACATCCAAACCCTGCACCAGCCCCTTCTCAATGCAAGGCCCTTCATACCAGTCTTCATTCTTTTCATCATCATGCTTAACTTTCCCAAAACAGAGCGTATTCTTTGGCAGAGGGTCTGTCATAACCTGCTTCCATGTTGGTCTCCATTTCTTGCATCCTTGTCCCACTGCAGGATACAAAAAGAGGAAGTCCACCCACATCCAAGAGGACATTGCATTGACCAGTGCTGTCCATGCATCCTCAAGAGACTCACTCTCATGGTATGCTGGTATTGTCTTGGGCCACAGAGGGAATGCCAGTCCTGCAACTTTGTCCACAGGATTGGTTGATACTCGCTCCTGCATGTTTGCCAATGCAGTAAAAATACCCTGATCCTGTGTTGAAAAGGACTTCCACTGCATGTGAAATTGTGTCAGTATATCTGTCTTGTAGTTTCCATCCTCATCAATTGGCTTGGCATGCAATGGTCCATCAGGTGTATCCCCAGCAATGATCCTGTCTTCATCCCCAATCTCCTGCACTGTCCATGCACGCCTAAACCAACTCCGATCACTGTTCAAGTCACCCTCCTTCAAACTCAAAGGCTGCCCCAACCCACTCAGGTAGATCACCACCTGATAGGCCCAATCATACACATATCCAATTGTGGGCACATCCAGCCTCCACTCCTCCACACGCAGATCCTCCCTCAGCCCATCCTTCTGAATCTGTCTCAAACAAAGCACATCCAACCACGTGTACTCCAATCCCAGATTCAGCATCTCAATCCTAATCAAGTGGAGGTCTGCATCCTTTGGGATGGGCACTGGCCATTCCTTCCCATTGATAGGGGTCCACATGTCAATGCGATCCTTCTCATCCATCCAAGCATGTGATATTGGTTTCGGCCAATTCTGGGCAACCCAGTATGGCACCACACGATTGCTGTACAGGTCCCAGACACGTCGAGGTGGTAACTTAGGGTTGACAATCTGGTTTCCTTTCAGTGCTCTTTGTCGCTTCTCCTGGTCCTCCTCTTCACATCTGTGTAGTTCATCTTGCATGGTGCCATCTTTATTGGTCTTCCATACCTGGCGGAGATGGCCATATGTGGTACCAAAGTTGTAGTTTTGTGTGATGCAGTCTTCAAGAAGGGAAGAGATGGATGGTGTATCCAGGGTGTATGATGTTTCAAGGATGGCGTTGAGTAGATCTAGAATACCTTGAATGCCAAGAGAAGTGCAAGGCACATTTGCTAGCGTGGAGGATATCACTTCCCGCTTTGGGCCATCATCATCTTCATACTTCCATCGCCTTTTATATTTGGGGTCTGTGCCTGTGTATTTCCTTTGCAGAGGAACTTCGATCAACGCCTCCACTTTGCCTGTCTCAGTGAAGGCAGAAATGACCTCTATGCCCTAGGAAGATGTTCATTCACCGGTATTTCATCCATTTATTCTCGCACAACTTACTGTTTCTATCCTAGATCGTACAACAGACGTATAGTCACCATAATCAGGGAACTCATCGCCTCTATCGACACTGGGACTGGCGAGTTGCTCCTCTACGGCCGAAGTCTGGGATTTCAAAATAGGAGTGTCCGAGAGCGGTTCGGGATGACAGCGGGGCGATGGGTTCGATGTCACGTCGGAGGTGTAATTGACGACCCCTGAGGTAGAACCAGAATCCTGGCGCACCATCGCTGGTTGCGACTCTGATGGCGGGGATGTGTTGGCATTTGGATTGTGGTTGGGCGTTCCATCAGGAGGGGCATCCTTCAATTTCCGTGCAGTCGAAAGGACCATGCCTAAGCGTCTCCACGTCGACTTGACACGGCTCCAAAGCTTTTGTCCTATTATTTTCAGTGTCGTAGTGAGCACTCGGACCGAAATAAATTAATGGTATGCACCGTTTCCCGTTTTCTGAACTCAGACGGTTACGCGTGCACTGAGGTATAAGACAAAGGTGGAACGACACGAGGCGGGTGGAAGGACTCGCAGGTCACTGGTCACCCCAGGCTAACCGTGTTTACGGCAGTGACAGAATCCAACGACATCCCGCATGATCCGGGGCAAAAGAACACACAGAATTTACACCCCTCACCATCCATAACGCGAATTGATACAACAATTCGACTTCATTGACCTCATGATAACGAAACACTAGAGATCAGGTATAGGGTATAGATCCCTCAAGTTTGCATGAACGGTATATGGGATTCCCCACTAGTAGTACCAAGACGCTTGTACCGAGCTCATATGTATCGCTATGCCTTCTGTAAGTCTATCACCCTTCCCAACTCCGATGAACGCTAAGGAGAGACGTGAGGAACAGCAACTCCCAATACACCCACAATCTCACTTACACGCATGCTACCACACCAAAACGGCACCCAGCACAGAAATCCTTGCTCCTGTGGGGCTCGACACTCTGAACAGGCTTTTAGGACAATGGCTTGAATTAAAGGCGAGCAAGACACACCATTCAATCACAGCATGGTTCCTCACCCTCCCTCCATGCTTCATTGAATCCGTACCCGTTTCTTTGTCGAACTTCACAGAACTCGTTCGAAGAGTAATCGCCCTGCGAAAGGTGAACTAGCCTGAGGAAGCATATACATCGAGGTTGTCAATGCCGGGTTATTGAAGGATATCAACGAGGGCCAGGACGGGGTTGCGGTGTGGGAGACATGATGATCACAGTTCCCATCAGCCTGTGAATGCGTTAGCCACGATAAAGAGGGACGAGTCACGACCGGATGTCTCGCACCTTTGCTCCGGGTGTCGCAAAAAGACTCTATCCTCTATCAGATCTCGAAGACCTAGGCTCTTGAATACCAGTGGCGAAATCCTCACGAGTGTTGGTATGAGCAAATACAAGGAGAGGGTGATGGGAGTGAAAGGGGAAGACACGGGTTAGTTTTGACCTTCCATTTCTGGACTCCAATGTCGTCCGGCTTTTGAATAATGCCGGCCCCATTCTCTCACACGTACGTCGTCTTCTCGTTATTTTTGCGACTTCTGAGAAGCGACCTCAGCGTGCGTAAGTAGAAATCACTGCATGTTTAATAAGCCGACCTATTTCAGCAACGATTTTCTTGTATCGAAGGACTCAGCCATCAAAGCACTCATCGTACGTTCTGCATCAAAAATATATTCTCAAATAACCTCTCGCTACATATGATGGGTATAAGTCAGATGCCAGACATAACTTCGCCCTCGAAGTCTCCCGAAGATCCCTGACCACGCAACAGTATCCATGTGCTGATCTCCGCGGTACACACGGTAATCACGGATGTCTCGTTATCTCATTTCTCAGGCCCACCCGAAGAAACGCCCAGGACCAGTCTGCCAATGGAAAACTAGGCAACTACTACTCACTGGAATATTCTTATCATTAAAATACGAAAACACGAAAAAATGGAACTACCAGCTTACCGGTTCGCTAACCCACCGAGCGTCAATTCAACATTGAAGGTTTATTCAGGAATATCAACTCCTAGACACCCTGCGAGAACAGTACCTTCGTAGTTTTAGGCATGATTATTCTATAAAACAGACATCAGCTGCGTTCGACAAATTGAGGAGAAAAAACTGACTGCAACCATCGAGTTCACCGATCGAGCGTGCGATTATCAATCGGGCGCCTAAGCAGAGCCTTGATGTACTTGTCCTCATGGTTCCCATCCTGTTGCGACCTCGTTTCCATTTACTTGAATAGCTCCCACGACAGGTATGTCACCCTGATTAACGGAGTCACGGAAGCAAAACACGAAGTCGACATTGCGATAGCAAGGTCAAGGGTCGTCGTTCAAGGATGGGAAGACCATTGTCTACTGGCTAGATTTACATCAAGGCTGGAGAGGAATTAGAAGGATGGCGCATATTCAAAATCCAACTGTGGCATTGGCATAGGATTTGATGGGCATAAGACGATACCGAGGAACGTGGGTATCGGGTATCGAGTGGATGCCAGCACGCTGTACCGAATACACTGATAATTATGATGTTAATGCAGATAAATCTATTAAATTGGTCCAGATCACAAATTCACGGATGGAAAATGATAGACGCACCTGGTCTATAGTCCCTCCAATAGGCCTCTGCGCGTTAGAGTATCGGGACAACTAAACCGTCGAACGTTGAAGATGATGTCGGGATCGTCGTCGTAGGTACTGGACATCATGGTCTCGGGCGCCTCCTATGACGGGTGTGTGAGCCCTGAATGGGAAGCGGGACTTCACGAGGATAAGAAGAACCACCAAATGGGGACAAAGAAGCTCACCTGATGGTTCTCGGCATGATCCAATAGTAAGTTGAACGATGATATTGCGATTTCTTGAAAGGCCTACTCCATGACTGTAACGGCAGACCATGCTGCACAAGGTTCGCCAGCGTTGGCGAATGTGATATGAGAAGAGGATCAGAGCTGGAGAGACCTGTGAATGAATAGTAATAAGGAACGGGTTACCGAGTAATCGAAACCCATACGCACCGTGTCAGCTCTGCTACGTAAAGCTCTTAGCTTTCTATCATGATCCATCAGAGGACCGAGTGCCGTGGTCGTACGAGTCCGTTCCGTTGCTGTTCAGCTGGAGAGATTTGAGTAGGCTGGCTGTAAGGAAGATTCCAGGACAAAGCGGGCGAGGGAGATGCTGAAGCTGAAGGTGGAAAGTGTACTGCAGCTTCATTCGGCCTGCAGCTCCTACTTTCCAAAGCCTCGTTTGCTATCAGTCGAGCAGGTTCCTGTTTGTTACGTTGCGAAAAAGACCTGCGAAAATACGGTGAACATCATAACGACGGCATGGAACTGCTGGCATACCTCTCCAAGGGTTCGTCAGAGTTAGGCACCCGAAAGATGTCATCGTGAAAGACAGCCGGGACATTCTCGTAACATCAGTCTAGTCGTCGTAAAGCTAGACACGACCATCTGTTCCTGTGTGAATTAGTTAGTTCGATTTGTTGAACAAAGCTAGCAAGGACGAACAACTATTAGTGGCGACTGCTTTGCTTGTTCTTGTTGAAGAGAAGCGCCTCGCTATACCCACCCGGCCCCACTCCCATCTCTCAGAAGCTTGATGATCGATGAGTACGGAATACACGCGACTACATTCTGTGTCGTCTTCGATTAGACGCCCATTGTTCATAGCACCATCATGTGTACTAACTTTAAATGCAGGTGCGAAAGAAGCTTCATTGCAATTGAGGGATTGTACAAGATCCGGGATTAGGATGACGAGGGTCTATCGAACAAGCGTTAGTCGACGGAAGAGCGTTATCAGGAGGAACGTACCCAGTAACTCTTGCTCATTGAGATTCCCGGACTAATCCATAGGTAAAGACTCCTCGTGCATCCTCACATCATGAATGATCACGGCCCAACGCATCGAAAAAGTGTCATCGTTTGGGAGGTATATTGACCTTGCTGGTCGACGTCTGAAACTGAAAGTACCAGTGTTTCAATCAGCTCGCAAGTGTTTCAACCGCCATGCTAGGCGAGGAACTACAGCCGATCCTGACTTGCTGAAATTAGATTCATCCCGGAAGATGGAAAAGAGTCGTCAAATTGACGATATCATACATACACTGCTCTCACTCCCAACAACAAAATTCCAGTGGTTATGGGGCATGAGAGTGGTAAGAGAACGGGTGCCCATGTTGTCGTTAGATGAGGATGCGAAGATGTGACTGAGATGAGTGTTAAGATCATCAACGTTCATTTCCGAGGTGATAACGGGGTGCGAGACCGAGAGTGGAGGAGTGAACCAGGGAAGAACACGCACGTAAAATGTCCGGGTACTTTGGTGAAGAGAATTCGTTCAAAGAGTTGGCTTGGTACGTCTGAGCTGGGTAGGCTTTTACACACGAACCCTCTGACGGCCGACTCCTGATTGGCATTGTCGAGGAGGGTGATAAGCTGTGTAGAGTCGATGACCGCCCATTACAGGTGGCAGGAGAAGGGAAACCGGCTAAACAGTGTGTCGTAGAGTCGGCTGATGCTTAGAGCGTGTAGGTGAGGTGCCTGGAGAGAGGAAAGCAGAGTTGAGAAGACATGAAAGTCGAGCTTCTCAAGCGCAAGGTTTGGTGGGATACGGTCTTCGGATGCCGGAATGGTGTACGAACAGCCCATGCGCATTGTAAGCTACAGCTTCGGCATATAAGCCATAAGGTCATGCCACGACGAACCCACCGCCAGAGAATAGGCGTTATCTGGTTGTTGAACAACGTAGAGCCTAGTTCCAACTTGCGGAATAGCAACAGGAGCAATTCCTGCGGAAGGAGGTACACCGGCGCAGAAAGAATGATGCCTTGTTCGAGTGTGACTGAATGTCGAATTGTGTGTTAGGCAGGCAATTTATGATTCGAGTTGATGGATGCCGTCTAGCTGGCGTTGAATGAGGATGCCAATGCTGGACACGTGGAGTCTTACATCTGCCGTTGTGTTTTTGTCGAAAGAGCTGGGCGAACGAGTTAGGAAAGGGAGGTGATGTCGACAGTAGGGGTGTAGGAGGATATTTTGATGGCATCGTGAAGAACTGAGAAAGAGTTAGCTGGTTCATTACGGATTCCTGGGAACGTACGATTGGAAAACCGGTGCCACGTATTTCTGAAGAAATGAAGCAATGCGCGTTCCTAGCACTTGTCAGTGATCTATCAATTCATCAGCGATTGAAGGTCGGAAAGTCATGAATCTTACGGTCTAAGTTCCGTTGCATACGAGAAATGAACGTAAAGGCAATGATTAGGACGCTTGGTCGAATTCCGCCGAATTCACGTTGAGACGGGCACTTGTCATGCTGCAAGAATAGTATCAACCACATAAAACCAATGAGCCGACAAACAAGGACGTACTTCTTCCATCGCATCCTGCGTTTACGTTCTAGATACCGCTAACTCGTCCATCCCTACAACAGAGCTCGAGCGTCACGTCAGAACACGAAGGGTCACTCTGGACTTGGCAAAACGATGGGACGGTGGGGTTGAAGAGAGTGTGTCGGCAGTATCACTGAGGACTAGGTGTGTGAATTCCTCAAGGCGTGGAAAGCAGATGGTCTTGGGTGTGATCTGTGGGAACCTGCTATGCACGGCACTTCTTCCCTGCCTCGTAATATTTCTTGCGTACTCCCAACTGGACAGAAAGAAATACATCGTAAATTTTTGACTTCCACTCAGCTCGGAGTGCCATGGAGGCCAACGTATTCGTGTTTAATGTTGAAAGAAAGCCGGTCGAAAGGTGGAGCAGAAGGAACTGGTTCGTGGTAGATTCGCCTAGGGATTCATCCAGCTCATAAACCGGCTGGCATTCTTCAAGAGGGCACGGATGTCACAGCAGCAAGAGGACAAAAGGAACGAAGCACGCTTTGTTTGCTTCTCTGGTGCCAAACAATCCCGGCGCGTAGCGGGCCCGCGCATGCCCGGTGTCTGGGGTACCCGCCAAGATCAGGCGTTTTCTCGTAACCTTAATTGCGCATCTCCACTTCCCTGGATCATCTCGCTTCCTCGATACCTCATATCTCTAATTTTCTCAAATGACGTTCTGCACCACGGACCTGACAAGAGTCTTCGCTCCGAAAGCGGACGGCCAAGCTATGAGAGGATTGCTCAGGAATGGTGGCTTAGCGTCGTTACTTGGCTTTCCATTTTGATTCTCTTTTGTAACATTTCGCCTGTGGAAGCTCCTCGCGCTGAGATTGAGATTCAATGGCCCGTTGTTCCCTAGGATTTGAGAGGGCTTGTCGAAGTAGGATCCACCTCTTTGGTTCATACGCCGATCCTACATCTCGCTTCTTTACAGGAGCAATTGCACGCAATGTTACTCTCACTTTTGGTGCATGAATGTATGTTGCCATCCTTCGGCTTGACGACCACTTTTCTGACTTATCGTTCAGATTTATTGGAATTCAAAACTACATTCTCTTTCCACAGCTCTGCGTATACTCTCCACGAGATGGAAAATTACAACAGTAGTTCAGAAATGGGTATGGTATGTCTCTGTTGTATTGATATCTTCAAGAGAGCTAAATCGAAGATAGTCACGACATCTATTAGCTTTCAGTTTCGTCCCGTTGTAAGTGACCTAGCCGATGCCTGGATGCAAGCACGTTTTACCATCTCACCTGGTGGCATTTTCGTTAACAGCGTTGCATTTTAGTTCCATTCAGTAGATGTCTTCTAGCGACTGAAGATACATGTAAGGATGTAGGCTTTATTCCTGGTAATTTCTCTGCAATCCTTGACGCGTGTTACATGTACATGCAGACGATTATACCATCAGAAATTCCCAATGTGCAATCTTCAATCCATTCCAACTCGGACTCGTCTACGTATCCGTTGAAAGAATCCATTATGCTCAGTATTCTATCGACGTCTCCGGCATCGGACACAGCAACCATCCGTTCCTCATTCACTGCGTCTCTTGTCGAAGCTTCTATCACCAACTACTGTCCTTCCTTCTACCCTGACGTTCCAGCTAATGAGATGCAGCCCTCGATCTCTATTCTGTTGTCTTCAATCGCATCGAAGGATGATGACTCTCTGGCCACCGACTCTGAGGCTTCTTCAGCCAGCCTGACTCCTTTGAATGACACTCCGACGACTACCTCTGCAGACACATTCCCGAGCCTGACCCCTTCGCCTCCTCCAGTTACCATGGGTGCTCCCTCGCCTCAGACCTCAGTTTCGAACCAACTGAATCCGGTCTCGACTGCGACCAAACCGAGCTACTGCCGAGAGCATACTATACCTCGCCACCAGCAGAGCCTGTTAGGTACGCCTCGAATATATATTTACGTGTTTTTCGCGTGCTAGGCCTCTTTCAGACCAATCAGCAATCGATACTCGCAATCTCTTCAAACCATAAACGTGCCAGCTCGGCCAGCCTTTAGCATTAGCGACGCGTCTTCGTCCTGTGCGATGGTGACCGGCATCAGTCGCTTCTTCTACGTTTGACTGGAAGCGACGGTGGTCTCAAACTGGAGAAGAGCAGGCGAGCATAGACTTTGATGGCGACGACGAAGTTGTCGTTTCGGCATCAGCGGAACTAGACATTACGAAGCGAATGTACCTCACACTTAATTCAACGTCCACGTATGAACGTGAATTCGCATTCTGATTCGAACCTTGCCAATCGGCACCTGCCTCGGAAGCGGATCTTGTATAGGCTTTCGTTGGATGATCAAGACGCAGAAAAGATATCCACTGATTATCTTTGTAGAACGAGACAGAATTATTCTGGGACAATTGGCATCAGCTGCTTCCTTCCAATGAACTTAACGAGAAAGAATGCGCTGCCCCCAGCGGTTTCATCAATCGAGCGTGTGCTATCACTCAGGCTAAGTAGAGCCTCGAAATACTTCTCTTCATCACGGTCTCTATGCCAATCCGACCTCGCTTCTATTCTCCCCGAAAGGCTCTCACGACCAGTACGTCGCCCCAATGGACGAGCCATGAAGGCAAACCACACAAGTCGACATTGCGATAGCATGAGCATTCCGAGGACGGGAAGAACATCGTCTGTTGGCTAAAATTAAGTAGACGCCTCAGAGGAGTTAGCACAGGGATACACCCACAATCTGAAAGTGACATCAACGTGGGTTCTGAGATGATACTCGTGAACCATAGGTGTCAGGGTTTTGCCGGCAGACTCGGCCGAGTAAGCAGATAATTGTAGCGCTAGGACAGATAATTCTGTTGAATTGATTCAGAGCGCGAATTAATGGATAGCAAATGAGGGACAGGTGATAGACGCACTTGGTATATTTTCCTCTGCAGATTAAAGTATTGACCATGGAACCATGGAAGCTCGAAGATAGCATTTGGATCATTGTCGTAGGTACTGGAAATTATGGTCTCAGACGCTTCCCATGACCGGCGTGTGAGCCATAAATGGGATGCAAGATTTCACAAGGATGAGAAAGGTCATCAGACGCGGACAAAGAAAGGAGCCTGATACTGCTTCTTGACGTGAGAACATCCAACAGTAAGTTATACCATGATCGTACGAGTTCTTGAAAGTCCAGCGCTAAGCCTTAATCAGAATTAAGCGCCCAAAATTATTGCGAAAGACGATGCGCAAAATATTGTAATATCCAGTTGTCATAATGCTAGTCATGTCTATCAGTTTCCATGTGAGTAAGGTAGTTTGATTCGTTGAACTGGGATAGGAAGGGCGAACCTTTCAGTGGTGACGACTTGAAGCAAAGTGCCTCACTAAACCAGCTCAGTCGTACTCCGAGCAGGTCCCATCTTGCGGAAGACTGACTATCGATGGGTGAAACTATGTTCCGTGCTGTCCTCGACCCATGGTTTCTGGCGCCATCACGTACACCAACTCTGAAAACAGTGCATGGAAGGAGCGTCGTTATGATGGTTTTACTGCACAGGGTCTGTTAGTTCAGAGAATAGCATTATCAGGAGAAATTACCCTCACAACTCTTGCTCATTGAGGTCCTCGTGCTAGTCCTCAACAAAAACCATTCATGCAGTCTCATGTCATGTTATCGACGTGTCAGACTGCGCTTAAAATGATATTGTTTGCGACGAGCGTCTTCCCCGACGATTGACATCTGTAAAATATCACTAATTTTAACACAACAACGAAGAATTAAAAGGCGCACCTTGAAGATTTCTGTTTGGCTGGCTCTGAATCACATCAGCATCGCAAATCCTCTTCGCCTACCATCCCCGTCTTCTTAGACAAGTCTTCTTGGTATGCCATACCAAGGAATTGCAGAAATTACAGAGTTCCAGGGATCATGTCGAGCGCAAGAATGTCCTGATCGATGCGTCGAGACATCAGTATGAGACCATACTGCGAAGCATAATTAAACCCCCACAGTTTTCCCCCGCTCACATAGTCGACCAAGGTACGCCATTATCCACCGACTGCGCTGGGCAGAACACATGGCATCACGGAACGCCCTGCATAGCAGATAAACGGATAGAACTCTAATAGACGATATCAATTATTTGGTCTTGGGTGGAGATAACGATTCTCACCGGCTTAAATCTAGCGAACAGGAAAGCAGGATCATGAAAGACTGATCACCCTCGATCACCTTCTAGTGCCCTGCTTTCTTCCGTTAGGCAACGGGGGCATGCATGATCCTAAGACGACAGGTGCGTAGCTGTGTGACGTCAGTACTGCGTTAGCAGTACGGGGTTGAAAGATCTTACAGACAATGACGATCCCCAAGCTCGTGAACTGGCTGGTTGTGGCAGAATGAGGAAGCGTGAGATTGGGGTTGGCCAGACCTCGGTGATCTACAACAACGCAAAGAGAGCCGAGAACTTAGCGAGATCGATGGGACAGGATTCTTTCAGATGTAGAAAGATTAAGATTGGCGGAGATATGATGGATAACCCTGGTAGAGAGCGTAACTCAGGAATCCAAGTTGCTGCTAGTCATGATTTTGTTCAGACGCGATGGCAGGTAATGGTGGTATTGCGATGGGGGAAGGATTTGGGTGAGATCATAATTCTTGAAATCCAGATAGTATGACTTCTCGACTAAAAAGAGTGAATGAGATCGAGATAGTCAAGCTGGAACTACGTAGTACATACCATCGACTTCGTAATATGAGACGTCTTCCGTATTGCAACTCCCTTGGTATGTCGCCCCTTGTCGCCTTAACACCTTCGACGACCAAGATATCGAGGACGCGCAATCCAACAAATACGAATTTGAACTACGGCCAAGATGATGTATATCTGGTGGCAAAGGTGAGCAGAAATAATGAAACCAACGAATAGTAGCACGCACCTGGATATCTTACAGAGATGAAGGTGTATTGCAACTCATGAGAGCACCATCTTTTCTGACGGGCCATGAGCCATCTTCCTACATATCTCAAAGTAGCCATGACACATGGTACTTCTTCAGTGGAATGTCATCCTTCCGATGGGGAATTTTCATGTATATCGCGTGCTTGTCGAGACAGCTGCGAGAAAATCCATGTCTGATAACCACGCCGGGCAATCGAGAGGAGTACTATGGTGTGTATGCAATGCTAATGGTTGTGTTTTGTCTGCTTACCTTATTCCCATAAAGTCGCCTAATACGACATTTCGCACCTCCAACAACATTGTGGATTCGGAAGCAGCCATCAAGACACGACTATGGCACAGACCACTTGATTATGGCCATCCGACTTTTGCGCGTGGAATTTTATCAGCCAGCGTCCATCTGGTGAGGAGAACCAGGTACTTTCACCCTTTATTCCACCCTTCAATGTGCCTGGCCGAAGGGCATGACGTGACCTCCATCTTCAGGATTTGGCTGCTCTTGATCAAACAGCCATCCATGGATGTTCCCGGTGTACAATGTTGTCCAATGCAACAATCGTCGCATCTGCATTCTTACGCTACTTCTGTGAGTGTTCTAGTTCTGCCCGTTACTTGCAGAACCATGACTTACGTCTATGAAATAGGAATCGCGCATGAAGAAGCCGGAGGCATAGCTGGTCATCATAAAGCTGGTTACTCCTAGAAATTGCACGGATGCATGGATGGATTGATAATATTGACATATTTAGGTATCCAGGGTGCGTCTCATATGTGCTTTTCATTACTATGGCTGACCTCCAACCCATAGGTACCACATATAACAGATTGGATGTGGTTAAAACCTGGACTTCGAGGACATCGCTACCCTGGTATTGTTTTCGCAGAATTCTGGGCAACAGTCAGCCAAGGTTTATGTACCATGAGGCCTACAGTTCGACACAACTTGTCTGACAGTCAAATCACCATATGAATCGTGCGTTGACCCTGACTCTTGACAACACCGGTTCTGTGTTGTGATGGGGACTCGGACGCCTGGTACGGATTGTTAATGGACAGGATGAGCGCGGTCTACCCTGATACCCATCTTTCGACATTCCTTCCACCATACCCACCTATTTGCGCTCCATAGTCATCACGGTGCTCACTGTCCTTGTGGAATATTGATGACCCTGTGGCTGTGCAAGCTGGCACGATGTCCAGTTAGCCCGAGTTTTGCTGAGTAAGGATTTACTAAGAGAAAGAAAGTACTAGAAGATACAAAATGGTATTTAAGTAGCTAGATTTCGTAGTATTCTGCACTCGTTTGCCTTCTAAGCAAACATTAACTACTTGCTAGGCAAATGTGCCTGAGCACATGGTGCACGTGTTATCCAACAGTCCTCACATACTTGATGGCGAATTCATCATCGTCAGGACACACCACCAACACTTTCCCTGCTATTCGGGCCCCTCTTCTTTGGCCTGGGCCTGCCGGCACTGCCCTTCCACCACACCTATGTCTATTATCTATGCACTACGAATGCCATGGAACACGTCATTCTCTCCATTCGCTTCCAGGATACCAAAGTGTCTTCTGCATCCATGGGTGTCCCTATGCGACTCAAGGAGTGGATAAAGGGATATCCAGTCAGCTTGCTGACCAGTCGTTGAGACTGCAACCACATAAAGGTGCTCGCACTTGCTGTGTTCTCAGTGTTTGCTGTAACGTACGAACGTATATGAAGGATCTCGTTAAATCTGCCTCGACATGGGAGTGTAATCTAGGCAAAATTGTTGGCAAATCACCCGTCAAGTATTCTGATGGCTCTCGGAAACACATGGATATGCAGTCTCAGTTTGAAGCAGGACAAGAGGATGGAGACCAGTTCCAGAGCCTCACTGATCTCAAGTGGGGAGAATTCAAGTTGCTGGGATTTGGAGGACTGGGTCAAGAAAAGCTGCAGTTTGATTTGAACGAGAGTGCCAGAACAGTGAGTATGCCCTCTTTTCCACCTCTCTGTCTTCTCATTGGTTGCAGGCACAGAGCACAAAACGGCAAATGCTCAGCTGGAACGACTTCTCATCAATAGGATTCACAAGATCAGATATAACGCCTTTTAGTGCGATGCTACAGTTCTTGCCCCAATGGCGCCACGGTCTCCTCTTATCAGCCAGCTGAATATGCCAAGAAGCTGAAAGAGGCCGCAAAACATATACCAGCATTTGGATGGGATACAGAATCTGTCATAGGACAGGAAGATGTCATTGAGGAAGCATTTTTAGATGTCTTCTATGGATAGGCTGCCATATCAGAGATTGGCAAGGCTGAACGAGAATGTAACTGGGCCCTGGTATGTTCCTTTCTCTACCATATATATTATACTCAAGCTTTGATTTAGATTGAGTTTCAATCAGACACTCTGCTTCTGTTGGAAGAATTTGTTCCCCTCGAATATCACCAGCAGATGAGCTCCTCGTCTTCTGGATCAAGCCGACGATGTCTTCCATCACTATTTTCACCTACTTCAACATCACCAAATATGACAACCCAGTCGAAGAAAGACAAGACTGAGCAGTCAAAGTCCAAGGTGCTGAGCCCAAAGGCTTCATTCAGAGAGGTCGAGTTTGAGGGCCTGTTAAGAGGTGATGGCAACTGGAAGATGAAAGTGATCACTCTTGGATCGAAGGAAACGCATACTACAATGATCGGCTCTCCAACTGAAGTCGAACCTCCTCCCATGTTGCAATCACTGAGTCACTAGTCTTCCACCAGAAGTGATGATTCCTCCTTGACCATAAGCACCATCGGGGGTACACCCCCAAATAGGTGCCAGTTTTGTTTAGGTGGTTCAGGGACTCCTACAAACGATGGCTCTGTTATGGGACAAAAATTGCTTATTGATGGCCTTCCTCCTGCTGAGTACAGCAGCATGGATTTTGAAACGCGTCTGGCGAGCCTCAATGGGGAAGACGTGTATGAGGATTACCTGCCTGTTGATGGCATTCTGAAGAAATGTGGGTTGCTGATGACGTGTGGGTGGACATCTTGGTGGGGAGTTGAGAACGGGGCATGGCTGGCCAGGAGTATGGTGGGCAAGGGAAGGATAGAGGAGAGGATGTTGATATTGTTGGCCTCAAAGTGCAGAAGGCACTTAAGGGTGTGAGGAAGATGAGCCAGAGCCCAGAGAGTCAACAAATGGAGAAGGTTCCTGTAAGGGATGAAGAGGAGGAGTCGATTGAAGTTGAGAGGGTTCCCTCAAGGCTGGCTATGAATGACTTTGTCAACAATCCTTGGCATCCACAGTGCTATGATGACTGGCTGGATTGCAATGCAGATGGCCCTTCAATGACTGAACAGTCAATCCAGTCGCTCCATTATGATCAACACAAGTCTGAGGATGATGAACCAGAGCCAGTGGTGGAGGCAGAGGAGGAGAAAGAGGAATCGCCACCCCAACCTGTACCGCTCAAACGACCTGGATACTTCGACCTTCATCTGGAATGACAACCTATAGCACATCTTAACAGTGATGGCAAGGACCCCCAAGCTAGGTTTGGACATGACAGCGATTCCGAAGACGAACTCTTGGGGCCAGGCATTCAGCTGCTTCCCAGAGTTCTGCCCATTATCAACCTTGATGACCAGCCTTCACCCTCAACTGTGCCATTGAAGGTTCCCAACAAGACTGCTGCACTGATTGAGATATACCAAGAGTGGGAGCATAATAGCACCTCACAGGCTACTCCAAGAGTATTGCTTATGCCCAAGATTGTTATGATACTGGCACAGGAGGAGGCAGAAGAGGGGGAGGAAGAGGTTGTACCACCACCACTACCATGTATATCTGTGATTGACAAAGATCAGGGCCATGCAAGTCTGGGGTGGTATGTGCATGGCACCCCATTGCATAATGTATTGGAGGAGGAAGAGGAAGAGTAGATTTTAGTGTTGCCATAGTGTTGGTGCATGGAATTATATGTATCCCTCCTCCTTTGTTTAGATTGCTTTTTTATGCTTGCTCCTCTATTGTAATAATACCAGGCACATACCAGTCATCATCTCCCTCCCCATCATATACAACACTCCCTCACACACACTTAACTTAGGAATTCTGCCTCAGGTTACAAAGAGCTGGACTTTTTGAATTTATATGTATATCCACTGAGTCACTCATTCATAAATTTCCTAGTCAGGTTTTTTTTGGTTTGTTCCATTCACTATTATGATCATTATTATCTTTCAATCCATATGTTAGTCCTTTCATGTTGACTTGGCTTTTTCATTGATCTGGGCATTATGTTGATTCAATGAGATTGAATTCAAGTTTTTAACTAGATGAAAGTGGTTAGTGTGATACCCAAGGGAACCAGCATTTCATTCTAGTGAAGAAGTAAATGTATTAGAATCAAATTGTTATGGATCTGCCAAAATCCAGATACATGAGCATGAGGCAAGGAGTAATGATCAAAGCAAGGTATGATTAATTAGAAATGATGTACATCATTAGGGAATATAATGGATTCTGGTGAGGGTTCATGAGGAGACCTGAGAGTTCTGGTGATGAGTCTAAACTTCCATGGTAACAGCAAAAACCAAAACTCTAGAGGAGTTCATGGCAAATGGCATGTAGTGGCAATAAAGGCTTTGTTGTTGTGTGAGTGTTTCAGTGCACCTCCATGTGATGAATTCCTCAAGAACACAAGTATGCACTGTGACTTTTCAGTCAGCAAAGTAGTACCCTTAATAGACAAGTACTAGAAAACGTTGGCTGTAAGCCGGTGACATGCATGCAACACGTTCATATGTGTAATTTTGCAAATTCTGTGAATCCAAACCTGTGTAACGAGCATGCCGACGGAAACCCGACTTCCACTCCACCCAACAAACCACAGCCTGGAATCCTACGGAGTCCGATTCCCACTTTCTATTTCATATTCCATTTCATATTCCATTTTATATTTCACTTCTCCATTACAATTTATCAATAGCCCGACATCGGTAGCGAACATGTCATCGGACCCCATCGGCTACCGACCGGTAGAATACATCCTCCGACAACCCTAGAATGTAGACCACTCCGAGTAGGAACTAGATCGGACTCCTAACTAGTATATAAGCCTTAGAATTACACTGTAGATACTCAGTTCGAATATCAACTTGGTTCAGCCCAATCTCTCTCTCTCTGACTCTAAGTCTAAACTCTCGTTCTCCAGTCCGCGGAACTCCGATCCGTTGGACTTATCTTTTACCTCGTCTCTGCCACTCCGCGGACTTCCGTCCGTATCCATCTTAGGGCTTCGGCTCAGGGGTGATGTTGCTAATAGCTTCGCCTACGCCTGACGCATCCCGCGGCATTCCGCTACGTGCACTTACTGCCGCAATCCTATTGGCACGATCCTAACAGTATATTCGAACTCAAACCCTTGAGTCGAAATTTTCTTCCTAACCATGTCTTCTACTTTCACTGTGCCTCCAGAAACCAGCCGCAACTCCACGGTCAACAACCGAACCTACACCATGGACGATATCCCTGCCTCTGCTTCAAAAGAGGGTCCCCTTCTCTTCGGATCGGATTCCGCCCCTCGCCAACAATCCCGTAGGGAAACCTACCTTCACAGTGGCTTCACTGCTCGCCAATCCGACGCCAACCGATCGCCCAACCCCTTCCTAGCCCAGCGATCAGAATCCAATGGCTGGGGCGAGTATCGAAGCGACCCCCCGCAGAACCCAACTACATCTCTGTTCGATGACATCCCAGGTCGGGATGACGACGACGACCAAGGTTCGGAAGACGGGGAATTCCCCCCTCACACGCCAATGAATGGCCGCGGAAACCCATCGGGAAATCCTGGCGGTGGCCCACCCAATCCTGGTGGCCCCGGAGGTCCTGGTGGTCCTGGTGGTCCCGGCGGTCCTGGAGGAGGACCTAACAACAATCCTGGTAACAACCCTAATCCTCCCAATAACGACGCCCAGATCCTCATTCAACTTATGAATGTCCTCCGCGGCGTCTCCGATGCTGTCAATGGCAATCGACAACGTGCTGTACGCACCAAGGTCAAGGAACCAGATACCTTCGACGGTTCGGACTCCCGAAAACTCAAAGCCTTCATTGTCTCCCTCCAGTTAAACTTCAACGACCGTCCCGACGCGTTCCGCTCGGACACGGCCAAAGTCAACTACGCCATCTCCTTCCTCTCCGGTGTCGCACTCGACTGGTTCGAACCGGATATCCTCCACCCTAATCACCACAACCCCCCTGCCTGGGCATACTCCTATGCCGCCTTCCTTTCAGAACTCCGAACCAACTTCGGCCCCTTCGATGCCATCGGAGATGCCGAAGATGAACTCGAAAACCTTCGGATGCACGACGGAGACCGCATCATGAAGTATATTGTCAAATTCAATCAGTATGCTGCCATTATTGGCTACGGCTGACAACTCCCTTCGTCATGCCTTCTACCGTGGCCTTTGCTCTCGCATCAAGGATGATATGGCCCACCACGGGAAACCCGATAATCTCCGTGATATGCGGAATCTCGCTCAAGAGCTCGATGCTCGCTACTGGACTCGGAAAGCCGAAATATCCCGAGAAAATCGCAGTAACCCATCTTCCTCTTCCAGCAACAGCAACAAGGCAAAGGGTTCTAACTCTTCGTCTCCCAACTCCAACTCCGCGAGCCAAAAGTCCTCTCATTCGGGCTCCGCGGGATCATCTTCGTCTTCCCCCAACAACTCTTCCTCTTCCAACCCTAAGCCCTACGCTGACAAGCTAGGCAAAGATGGCCGTCTTACTCAGGAAGAAAAGGATCCGCCGTCGGAAGAATAACCTCTGCATGTTCTGCGGAGGTAAGCACAAGACCGAAGATTGCAACAAGCGCAAAGCCGCGGCCATCCGCTCGGGGTCGTGCAGCTGCAGCTACTCCTGCCCCTACTCCCGAGTCCACTGCCTGTATTGAAACGGTTCCGTCGGAATCGGAAAACTAGAGAGCAACCCTGTATCCTCCGCACTAGGACAGGGTTGCGTTGACTGTCACAGTGTACTGGAGATCGTAACCCTCAACGCTGCCGCTCTTTCCAATCATTCCCTAACTGTCTCTCTCTCATCTGAAGTCGGCTCCGGATTGGAGTCCGACGGTTCACCCATTTCTACTATCCTTCGTTTTCTTGCACTCGTTGATTCTGGCTCTAGCCACTGCTTTGTTGATTCGAAGTATGTTGAGGATCACAATCTCCTTACCAAATCTATCCCACCTGTCCAACTTCGGCTTCTCGACGGCTCCGTCGGATCTCACATCTCCCAATCCATTTCCCTTCCAATCCGTTTCCCTTCCGGAGACATCCTTCCCATTGACTTCTACGTCACTCGTCTAGATTCATCCTGTAACGTCGTTCTGGGATACAACTGGCTCTCCCGCTACAATCCGTCGATTGACTGGGTAAAGCACAGTATCACTTTCCGTTCACCATTATCAGTTGTTTCTTCTTCAAGCGCTTCCGCGGCTGTCGACACACATGTGCCAGTCCGCTCGGACTCTTCCAGTCCAATCCAACCATCCCAATCATCATCTTTCACCCCAAAATCGAGATCCCGACGGGCTCTGCTGCCTTACGAACCTATCTATTCCTACCCTACCATTCCTTCCTTTGGTGCTTCGGCCGCCCCCAAGATATCTATTATTTCGGCTGCCGCTTTTGTCCGAGCCTGTGCAGAAGAAGGGGCTCAGCAGTTCACATTGCAGCCTTCTATGCCTAGTGTTAGTGGCAAGGCGACCTCCACGGCTCCTGCTAACTTATCCGATGTCCCACCGGAGTACCATGAATTTGCTGATGTATTCAGTGATTCCCTTTCTGAAAAGCTCCCTGAGCATCGCCCTTACGACCTCAAGATCAATATTGAGGAAGGCTCCACCCCTCCACTCGGACCCATCTATTCCCTTTCTGAATCCGAACTAAAAGCCTTACGTGAGTTTATTGACGATAACGTCCGTAATGGTTTCATCACTCCTTCCCGCTCTCCGCACGGAGCTCCGGTACTGTTTGTCAAGAAGAAAACCGGTGAACTTAGACTCTGTGTAGATTATCGTGGCCTTAATAAAATCTCTAAAAAAGACCGTTACCCTTTGCCCCTCATTTCCGACCTCCTCGATTCCACGCGTTCCACTCGCCTCTACACCAAGCTAGACCTTCGTCATGCCTATCATCTCGTCCGCATAGCCGAGGGTGATGAATGGAAAACCGCTTTTCGGACTCGCTATGGCTCCTTTGAATGGCGTGTCATGCCATTTGGACTCACTAACGCTCCCGTGGCTTTCCAGCGCTTCGTCAACGACATCTTTTCCGATATGCTCGATGTATCTGTCATCGTATACCTTGATGACATCCTTATCTACTCCGACAATCCCGACGATCACCGAAAACACGTACGCGAAGTCCTTCGCAGACTCCGAGCCAATGGCCTCTACTGCAAGGGTTCCAAATGTGAATTCCATCGGGACTCCGTCGAATATCTTGGTTACATCCTCTCGCCCGAAGGCTTACTGCATGTCTGAAGACAAGGTCAAAGCTATCACTGACTGGCCGGTTCCACGCAAGGTCAAGGATATCCAATCCTTCCTCGGCTTTGCTAATTTCTACCGCCGTTTTATTCACGAGTACAGTGAGATCGTCCTGCCCTTAACACGACTCACTCGCAAAGGAACTCCGTGGAAATTCGACGAACAATGCCTATCCGCTTTCAATGAGTTGAAGCAGGCTTTTACTCATGCTCCTATCCTCACCCACTGGCTTCCCGACCGTCAACTGGTTGTGGAAACCGACGCGTCCGACTACGCTATTGCCGCCATCCTATCCATTTACCTAGAGGATGGTGAGATCCATCCCATCTCCTTCTTGTCCCGGAGTCTCCACGGTGCCGAACTCAACTACGATACGCACGA